TGATGGATGGCAGCATATGGATTGGGACAGGTCCTGAAGATGAGCAGGACAAGCCACTGCCGCAGACGGGACAATGGGAGCATGGCTGGAATGTCGATTCCCTGAACAATGAGATCATTGCGGGAATACACAATCACCTCTTGGAACGGCTGCAGGAAATGAAGCAGCAGGGAATTGTGGAGGTCACCATCAACAGCAGGGGCTTTATCATGCAGCCACAGTGGGTGTTGGAACAGACTGAGTCAATAGCTGAACATTTGGGTGGCATTCGTGTTGATGAGCTGGGCGGAATCATGAGGGTTCTGAATCTGGAAGCTGTGAGGAGGCGACCGAGGAACAGTGTCCCACACAACATTCCACATGGCAGTGCTCCAGCTGGAGCACACGCATCCAAGATGCTGCCCAGATCAGTGCAAATGTACCCAGGAACTTACCATTCGTCACAGAGGGAACGGTACGCAGGGAATGCTGTTCAGATGCCAAGATCTGGAATGGGCCCATTCCTCAACTCAGTATTGGAACCGCCCGATGCGGCACACCACCAGGGTAGCCCCGCCAGAACATGTGGGCCCAGTGGCTGGACTGAACAAGCAGGGAGGCCATTTTCAAGGCACAGCGCAAGGTCATCAGTGAACCAAAGGCAAGGTGCCCCTGGTCCAATGGTTCAGGTGCAAGGCGTGCACCCTGGAAACGACACTGCAGGCACGGCAAATGACCTGCGAGGCTCTGGAGGTTCGTATAGACACAAAAGAGATGGCAGAGAATGCGTCTCCCGGGGGGGGCGTGGCGCCAGAGGAAGGAGAGGGGGAAGGGGGGCGAAGGGCTCATCAACAGGCAGAAATTCAGGGAAGGCAAAGGATCAGAGCCCATAGCACTTAGTTTACCATCCGTTGCCCATGATGTGCCAACCAGCATTTGCACAATCTGTCAGTGCTGCAGCTGCTGTCTCCTGTTGGGTCAATATTTCGAGCCAATTATTGCCCTGCTTTGTGCTTGCGACACCAACATCTGGATGTGCCAGGGGGGTATTTGCATCGCTGAGAGGCTGTCATCGCCCACAGCTGCACCATGGATGGAAGAGAGGAAAATAACCGCCTGGGTGATCATACTGGCAATCAGATCAGGGCTTTGCTTTGCCCAGCGTTGGGGGACAGGAAGTATGGCGGCTCGCAGTCGTCTCCAAGGCATCATATTCACATGGAGATGGAGCTGTGGATGGCACATGTCGTCGCCAGGTCGGCTGATGGTGATGGACTCGGATACAAATCTGTGGATCTGCTGCCGTCTCAGACGATCTGTCAGAGATTGTCGCCCAATTGCCAATGGCAGTGGGAGATATTGACAGAGATCCTGGGAATGGCACATTGAAAGGCAGTTTTGGATTTGTTATGTGTATACAAATTTAGGACAGTACAGTGACGTGATCGGGGGAGGGCATATTGTATGCAATGCGAGTAGTGTAGATGAGAATAATTGCCTGCTCGTCTTGTAATAGTTAAGTTCACAGCAGGGGCTGTGTCATGTGTCACATTGGTTGGTGCATGGCTTCATAACCAGGCTTGCACCGTTCTTACTTCACTGGACTGCCAGTCCACAGGATTGAGACGTTCCATGCCCCAAACAAGTCAACCTGCCCTGCTGATCTCCTTCACGCTTGTTCGACGACAATCCATAGCAAGGGCGATCGTTGGATTTGAGGGGGAGTACCCATTCACATAGACAGTGTGCACTTCTGCTGGACAGTTGTTGTGTGTACGAATGGTCATGCCTGCTGCATGAACGGGTGAGACCAGCCCTGAATGCATGATGGCGTCTCGATTGCCCTTGGAGAGGGTTTCCAATGCATGTCAGACACTTTTTGTATCACCAGGCCATGTGGTCGGATGATGGGATCTGGTGCGCACTGATGTGTGCATCAGTAGGTGCAATGGTCTGTTAAGTTGCGGGTTCCTCTCCGCGCCGATGCAAGGGCGCCCTTGTGTGTAGGCCAGCGATTTAACTCTTCTGACCAAATGAGCAACGTATTGCTTGGTACGCAACACAATTGGAGGCACGCTTGCTGATGATACGTATGGGTCATGATTCATGACTCATGGAACTGGTAGTGGCTCGTTCGCAAGCAAAGTGTGTCCTTGTAAGGAAAGACGCTGTGTCGATTTTGGTATGCATAGCATCAATTTGATGCTAGGGTGGGTCCGGAACTGTGACGCTAAAAGATTATGTAATGGAAGACGGTATGTCGATTTTGGTGCGCTTAGCATCAATTTGATGTTAAGCTCCGCTCTCGCTCCCCCCAGGATGACTCAGCAACATTACCTAATAGTGGTATTCAACTTCCAGGCGTTTCTAAGGAGAAAAGCAACGAAACTTGTGCTGATTTCAGTGGGCTGAAAATGCGATTATGAATGCCATTATAAGTGAGGCGGGCAGCCTCAATGGCAGCAAATTGATCCATTCTAGGGCCTTCTTTGAAGACCGAACACTTGCAACAGGCTTACGAACGTGCCAGGGTTTGTTTGCCGTTTATCAGTGGCGTTTTTGGGCACCTTCCTTCCTTATGTCGATTTTGTGTCAATTACGTAATCTCTTAGTGCCATAGGTCTGGACCCTCTCCCCATAGCGTCAATTTGATGCTAAGCACACCAAAATCGACAGAGTGTCTTCCCTTGCGTCAAATTAAAGTTACGCTGAGCCGCACCCAACCCCCCCCCCCGGTCAACCCCTATGTTGAAGCCAGGATGACACTTTAATACTACATAATGGTATGGGACAAATTTATTGTGATTGAAGAAAGAACAACAACCAAAACTACAGCGATGTCAGTGGTCTGGAAATTGAGATTCAAACACCATGGGGGCAGTTTCGAATGCCACCAACTGAGATCTAATTTGGCTGTTGTGAAGACTGAAGCGCCAAAAGGCAGTTTGGGAACAAGTTGTAAGTTTTGGCCACTTTTCAGTAGCGTTTACGGTATCTTCCAAGTTTATGCCAATTTTATTGCAATTACACAATCTCTTCGAGTGCCCCCTCCCCCCCGGGCTCAAATTGATGCTAAACATAATAATTTCGACATAGTGTCTTCGCTACTTGCCAACAAATCGACATAAGCTTAGAAGATAGCCAGAATGGTGCCGAAAATTGGCAAGAAACTCATGACTTGTCCCAGAAACTCAGCTTGGCGCTCAATCTTCAGGAAAAGCCCACAAAATCGAGAGTGGCGGCCTTCAAGGGTGCCCCCCATCATCTGCCATGGGTTTTGCATCTCAATTTTCAGCCTACTGCAATCGCTTCAGTTTTGGCTGTTTTTCCTTCTTCAAATCGTAACGAATGTATACAACACCATTATGTAATGTTGTTGAGTCATCCTGGCTTCGACATAAGATTCGACGCTGAGGAGGAGGGAGCGGGAGGGGTGAATGTTTTTTTTTCCTGAGCTTAACATCAAAATCAACATAGCGTCGTCCCTTATAGGGTGCTCCTTACAGGAAACCAAACAATATATTTGGCCTATTGTTTAAGAGCTCATTGGAGCAGCTCCTGAAAGTGGTGGAGCAGGAGAGCTTACCCGAGTTCAAGACTTCCAGAAACACTCTAGCGTGCCACAAAACTTCATGTGGGAATTTCAAACAACACGCAACCCTGGATGAAAGGAATTCAGCATCTGGAGAATAATGGCAAAGAATTTGAACTTCAGATTGCTGGCACTGTCGGTGCAAGTCCTAAATTCCATCATAGCTGAACAGCCAACATTTCTATTCCGCTTTGTGTTACACCCCACCAGCGTGCAGATTAAGATGTACTTCAGTGTTTTCGATAGGTGCATTTCCCGCAGAATAGTACATTGTAAAGGCGATTGATTCAAAGTGCGTCACGTATTAATGATGCCCCACGAGAAGTCAATATGCTCGATGTGGGTGAACATTGATACCCTCACTTAAACCACATCGCATGATGAATATCGCGTCATGATTGTTTTTCAGAGATGCTCCTCTGACAACGTCCGGCAAGTTCCTTGAAAGCACGTTGCCATTCGGACAAATACTTTGAGGAGCGTGCAATTGCGACTGGCATGCCTCAGCCTGAGTACAACCGATCGTCCCCATGTGTACATCCACGAAAGGGCAGAAACTGTACGTACCACACTGCAGAAAATGATATTGAAGTTGCTACAGAAAGCACCAATATCCCTTGTGCAGATTTGAAAGGAAACACGATGGCAAAGTGTACAGAAATGGTAACCTGTGAAATGCTTTGCAGCAACAATAACTATATTCATGTAGATTTATCAGCATGCACACAACGCCGCTTCGTGTGTCCAAAACAACAAGTTCCGATTTATATCCTTCTGCGGTGACCTCAATTTTTACTACTTGAATATACGTATTGGGGCTAGGAGGTGCCCGTCCTCAACAAGAATTACAAACAATAAATGCTCCGCCCCTCCCCTCCATGAACATTGCCAACGGGCATTTTATTTACCCACTGATCTTACGGTCACTCGATGGGAAACTACTGTAATTGGGAGCAATGTCCTCAAAGGCTAGTGCAAGAATTGGTGGGGTATTCGTGATGCCTTATGATGATAGCCGTATTTTTGGTTGGGCCACTTACTATAGAGGCAAACAGTGGCTGCGTACAGTAAACACTAGGCATTGCTATGCATTGCATGGGGTGATCTGGATAATCACCGTTGCACGCGCAGACGAAAAGAACTGAAGGAGAGAGTTGATCTGACAATTCTTAAGATGTTAAGGGAGATACAGGAGTCGAATACGTCAGAATGGCGGGATCAACGGTCTGTCAAGCGCCCTGGTCACTTCAAGATTACATGGACTCTTGTCCCTGACAATGGTAGGCACATGGTCAGCGGCATGGCATGATTATCTGCGATTCACGCTACATGCATGACTGTGCTAGGAACATCACCGAATGAGCACATGTGCGCTCTTCTCTGAATGATCTGTGTGGTTACATTCCGAGCATCACCGAAATGCAAATAGGGGTACTGGGCTCGTGTGACAACCGCATTTCAGTTTGGCACTTCCACCGACATGCGGATGCACAAACAAAGGGAAGGATGACATGTGCTGTCTATACTTGCTCCCTGCCACGCTACACTTTGCCGCACATTTGTGCAGTGTTGTCCGGCTATCGTACAAGATCAACAGCTATTTTCTCTGTGTGTGACGGATCCTAGAGTGGCACGTAACATTTTCAAGACTTATGTTCTGGGCTCAATTGGATATGGCTTTCTTATTTTGGGTGCATTCATCACGAACACCCAAGGCTCAGAGAAGGTTCAGGTCCAATCTTGCTGACTGCAATTCATTTGTGTCGCACTGGATCTGTCCAGCATGGACGTTCCTCACGAGCAGCGTGGGCCCACTGTGGTGGGCCCGCACATTTGTGCGATTGGACTCCCCCGCGCCCTTCCTGGAGGGCAACAGCTGTTTTTGTGGGTCAGAGGCTCTGACTTGCAGCTTGTGACCCCCTGAAGCACAAGACGCCCGAGGGCTGGCCGACGCACCCATTCATTTGAAGTCACCAGACTGTTGGGCAGCCTGAAGGGATGGCAACTGTGGACACAACCTGCGGGGTGACTACAGGGACTCGGAGATGTCTTGCAACGCGGGTGCGCATTTTCGATACATTGGCGCACAACGGCTATGATGTCCTTTGCTATCGTTTTGAAGCGATGCCCCAATGGCGCATCGCCCCTCTTTGGGAGGAAACCTGTTCCAATGGCCTTTTGAGAAATGCCGAGGCAGTGATCTGGGAAGGTGCGTGCAATTTTCTGCTGAAGAGACCTCAAGGTTTTCCGCCAATAGCATTGGCGTCATGAACGTCCGGACTTGGGGAGGCAAGGCGGAATTGCAGAAAGTTGCGATGTTCGTGATGGGCGGCGTTCGGGGCCGTGCTGCGCGCAGCCGTGCGGCGATCATTGACTGCCACATGCGCTGCAGCAGGGTGGGTCTGAGGTACTGCGCAGGGCAGCAAGTGGTAGAGCCCGTTGGCGAAGAAGTGCGGGCCATCCCCTGGTGTTTGCGAGCGCTGAAGACGACGCCGGACGCGCGTCCACAGTGTCCAAGACGGCCCTGCGCAAACTGAAGAAGGTGAATTTCAGTGCTTTTGGAGCAGGCACCAACGTGCCAGCTACGCTCCAGGCTTGGTCCTGTAGACAATTTGCGGGGCACTGGAGGAATTCGCCCTTTTCTGTTGGAAGTGGGACCACTGCTGGGAATTTTTTGCAGCCATCCTTGCCTGGTGTTTCTCCATGGAACCACGTGTTTCTCACACAACGTAAAAGCACCTCAAAAGTGGCGTCGTTGATTGCGACACACGAACTATAGTCTGGTGCTCTCTCCCTTCCACATGGACCCAAAGCCCCCATAAATGTTCTCATGCGCTTGGCCACAAGTGAGTACACACGACAGTGACTCTCAAAGAGTCAGCCCCGTTATAGTACCGTCATTGTCTTCCAAACTCGCGTTCATCTAACCACACCCCTCTTGTGGGCGTGTGGGGGGAACCAAACGACTTTGGGAGGCCACAGGGTCGTGTCTCATTATCTACACCATCCTTGGTGTCAAAAGCTGATCCACAGATCCACAGGGTCAACTCCCGGGCTGCTTGTGGTTGGCATATTACCCAGCTGACCCACTGTGCAAGGATGATGACCTTCCTAGGGCACAGTGCATAGGGACGTTAGACCCTAGCACAATTTGGGTGCTGATTGGTAGGCATGAACATCGCCCCAGGCAGAAGTTCATGTGGCAAACACTCTTCCGTATGCCGATTGCTTCCTGAATTGCACTGTCTTGGATCGGTTTAAAAATCACATCTGCCAGCCAGGCAGGATTGTGTGTTGAGATAGAGCCCAATGTGTTAACAGAACACACCAGCACGGTGAATGACAACTGGTACTACTTTGGGGGGTGCCTTGAAGCCATATTGTTGTTGTCCATTTGGCCACAATTTGAACTGCTCTGCACCACCGTCACAGTGCAGGGTGAAAAAGAATTGTCCAAGAATGCTGCGATGTTTCTTCTGTCTTGTGGACCAGTCCCAGCTGCGCTCCCCTATATTGTTGCTGCCTGCAATGCTGGAGATCGGTGAATGTCCAGTATGCTTTCATGCAATCACATTGAAGTCAGCAGTGGTTCTCCGATGCTGATTGTGCCATCTGATGCTCTACTTCACTGTTTTGGCAGGCTGAACTTGCAAGCCAACTGTTGGATTATGGTCTGGACAATGAGGGAACCAGACCTCAACTGTTGCAAAGACTTCTGGAGCATCTCAAAGCCACAGATGGGGCAGACAGCCTCATCACGGTGAGGTCATTGTTGAGCTAGTGCAGTTTCCCCACTATTGTTCCTAAGTGGCAAGGAATTTTTTCATTTACCAATGCAACGCATTGACCGCATCCACAGCAGAATTTTACCAGGTCATGCCTATCCAGTCCGTGCTGATATGTGCAGATCGCCAAGTACATGTATTCTTACGACTCGAGGCCCTCCATTGAGCAACAGCTGAACCAAGTAGCACCCCAGAGTGTATGTTGTATATGCATTATGTTTGTGAGAATGTCTCCCTTGACTGGAGAAGCAGGCCTCAACCACCATGTTCGCAACTTTGCCTGCTTTTTGATTATATATTTCAAAAACTTTGAAGTGGATCTTTGGAAACATCAAGTATGTACTGGATACCCTTGTGTTGGAAACCTTGTATTGGTCGCACACTCTAGTTGGGATACTCAAAACCCAACACACCGCCCTTCCTGTGTGGTTTTGGAAGCAGGGGTTGCCTGTGGGAACTGCTGAAAGGAGATGGGAACCAGTAGGCAGATTCGCCATTCGAATTTGTAACCTCGCCCCTCCAAACTCATTGCTCTCCCAGAGAAGGTCATCTATCCCTAAAGTGCATGCTTGGAGTAAATTAGAGTTTGGTGTGAAGGAAGAGCTAACAGCAAAGACTGTTGCACAACACATCATAGATTGGTGCACGGTCAATGGCATTATAACATTCTGACAGTGGCACATCCTGGATCAGATGATTGCCACACATCTTTGCATTCTGCATGCACGATGTCAACAGTAAGAACTGGTGGAATTGCTTGTTCCTTGTACCCATTGTGTCTGCAGCACATATGGATGCTGCAATCGCATTGTTGAGCATTTGCTGTTTGCGGAAGAGATTGGAGCATTGGCAGCTTTGTGAATTCCTGTCAGTACTGCCTCTGTCAGTTTGGCTGAACTCGATTGCAAGCTTAACTCTGACTCCAGACCCCTTTGCACTCTGTGTCTGTAAACAGGACAAGCCAGGCAGTGCATCCTTGGACAAGGGGGAAATGCATGCACAGAAGTTGCGCAGATTGTACAAGGTAGCAAGAATTGGGCAATTGACATCTGCTGGTGTGCTAATTTTCACCTGTCTTGTGTTCATGCTAGTTGATAGCTTTGGGATTTTCTTGCAGAAGGAGCTGGTGGAGATCTGCAGGACCTCGGGCCTACCTACTGCAGGAACAAAAGCAACACTCATTGCAAGGATCTTGAAGCACCCTGAGCAAATCCACCAACCCAGATTGGAGGCTGTACCTGCTGAAGCTATGGTGAGTTGCAACCGCAACAGGAACTGGCCACAGCAACTGGCCATTGCCCTGGCAGGCCAGCCTCTTATCTGCTGAGTCCATCCTTTCATATTTTTCGTTCCGTCAGTGTGGAGGAGGTTCAATGCTGCCCACGAAGCAGAGTGGCAATGCATCGGGTTCACTTCTTGGGCGAAGCATGTGCACCTCTTCCCATACTGTTGAGATTGATATTGAAGTAACTGTCAACAGGACAAGAGTGTAAAGCAGTGAGCGATGTTGGGTTTTAGTCATATCTGTTGTGCTCATAGGGGCAGGCAGATTATCCCATGGAGCAAGATGACACTGATGAGTTTGTCACAGAGGAAGAATACAATGCCCAGAGGGAAGAAGTGCAAGCAGAACTCCTGCAGAAGACCAAAGTTCAACTGCAGCAGATGTGCAAGAACCAAGGGCTGAAGATGAGTGCAAGAACAAAAATGGAACTTGTGGAGCGCATACTTCAGGCACTGGATGAATATTCTGGAAAAGAGGTGCTGAAGGAGAGTGTGCTGGAGGTATTTTTGGGCACCTTCACCAAGAGCGTAGCCCTCTGTTGACTCTGCTGCCACCAGGTTTCTCTGTTGATTTTCCATTGACAAATATTTGGTGGCTGTATGGTCATCGAAAACTGCTTTTCCATATGCGATTCGATATTGGGCTGAGCCTGGTTTGTCCTTGTTTGTTGTGTAGGCAACCAGCAGAATGCCCAAGGCCATTGTACAGACTGAGGTCCCTCTCAGAGTTCCTTTAGGAGACAGTGAGAATATCGCACGAATCAAAGGCTTCAGAGACAATGCAAAAGGGTTTGCTTCTGAGATAGATAGCATTTTAGAGGAGATGCGTGGAACATATGGCAAGTACTTGCCAGCTGATGGATTTCTAGAGAGAGAGCTACCATATACAGGTAACAGCAGCAACAGTGGCAGTGCACAATGGAGAAAAATGGTTATATACACATGGCATTGTATCATGTTCAGTGATGCAGGTGATTGGTCATTAATTGATTGACCTGTGGGAAAGTGTTGAATACAGACAATTGGTATCTGTTGTGAAAGAATCACTCCATGGTGCTTATGCACAGTTTTGTTAGGCTGCATGGCAAGTGGTCAATATGATGGTATTTGTTGGAGTTTTGTTCAGGGGCTTGTGTTGCTTGCTGGTGCCAGCAGCAGGTGTGGGTGCTCTAGAAGAGCCGACTGTCGATGACCTTAAAGCATTAGAAAATGAGGCGGCCCTGCAGGAGTGCTTGTCAAGCTCGGCAGACTTGCTAAAGCAGGATGGTGGAAGCCCCGGACAGCAATGGGCTGGCCCCACTACAGAGAAAGAGCAGGAAGTTCCAGCGGCTGGAGCACAGCTGTCAAGAGACGCAATCTCTGTGGGGAATGAGCATGGTGGAGGAGAGGTGGCGAACCACTTGGATAATGACAAGAACGGTGTTGAGGACGATGAACTGGTGGGAAACTGTGATACCTTCCTCTGGCTGGTCTGATTCCTTGGCCATGAAAGATTCCGGAGTGACCATTGATGTTGGATGCATGGCCATCTGCATCCGCAATGTTTGCCCAAAACATTGTGGACTGTTGTGCAATTGCTGTGAATGCTGACGTCTAGCAGTGTCAAAACACAGCCCTTGCATTTGTTGGGCGATGGTGGGCTGAGACCATCTGCAGATTGCACAAGACACGATCATCTTTGAAGACAGGGTCAAAATCAATTCCAGTGCATACTGCTGTGGACTGTGGTTTATGCATACACAGCGTGTGACAGTTTCTACATCATGTCAGAACTGTGTTTTGCATCATGCTGTGCAATTCAGTAAGGGATGTGTTGATTGTGTGCATGTGCAACAATGATGGCAAAAGTTGACCAGATCTTCGCAAATGGCATTTGCTTGCAACATCTCGGACATTGTTGCTGAATTGTTTGAAGCAGCGCTGTGATCGGATCTGTAAAATGCAATTTCCTTGTGGCAGCCTGCACCCATGGCCGTTGTCTGCTTCTGCATTGCAATGTGGCAGCGATTTGTGGTGTTCTTGTCCCAGCTATTGTTTCAGGCTAGAATGTGGTTTTCAGTAGAGCGAGGGTTTTGGTGTTGCCACTGGCATAGCTAGTTTCCCAGAAAATGGCAGGAGTGTCAGTGGAAGACAGAGAACAGGAGTATCAACTGCATTTATGTAAGTGCAGTGGAAAGCAGTACATCCAGGAAGGCATGTAGCCCAGCCCCCTGATTTGAGTGTAGTGAACGAGGAGTCTGTGTGTGACGAAGACTGCATTCAGGAGATTGATGATCTTGACACTTATGCCAAAGTAAAATTGCACTTCTTGAAGAAAACGCTGTTGACAGCATACCCAATACTCTTTTTGTCCATGTGGCAGATGAGGAAGTGAGTAAGGGTGGCATGGATGATGTCCAGGGTGAAGGCACATTGAGGGATTCACTAGAGGTTGATGTTGAGAGATGTGGCGAAGTTGCAAGGTTGGTTGATGAGGCTCTGGAACAGTCCAGGAAGCCAGTTCAAGAGAATGGTGCAGATTTTGAGCAAGAGGAGGAACCTGTATTGGCAACAGGGATTGGATATGGGCCTGATCTACATGCTCCAAGTCCGCATCAGGCATTGAAGCCCACTCGATCTGACTCATGCACAGGAGACCATGATTTCATTGAGACAATAGCATCTGCTCCTCCACCTGAGCTGGTGGATATTGGTGCCAGTGGTGCGTCATCTGTTGGTGATGGAGCTCTTCCTGCTATGGGAGAATCTGAGGCTCAGAATTCTAATCCTATTGGGATGCCAGAATCCAATGCTTCTGAGCCAACGGGTGAGCCAGGGAATGGTGATGCTTCACATGGAGCTCTGAATGCAGTGACCACTGAGGAGGAGGCGAAACCACCAGACGACTCGATCCCTGAAGCTGAAGCTGTTCCAGACAGCACAATGACTGGAACAATTCTCGAGAAGGTAATGCAAAGAGCTTGGAGCACTGCATAAATGATTTTTGGGAATGTATGCCTTCAGCATGCCAATCCAATACACAGTTACTTCTAGGAAATGATAATTAATGACGTTCCTTCTGCCGGGGATGGTTTGCGAGATAGTGGAAAATCAATTTGAAACGCTTTCGAACTAAGTTTTTTTCTGTCAATTGTGATAGCTGAAGCGGATCCAGAGAATGTAACTGCTTTTCCTTTTGCCAGTGGTGGCAATGGCAATGGCTGGTGCTTTACAACCCCTAATTCCATGTACTGTGGAGCCTGACAGTGTTGTTGATGTTTGTTGACAACTTGGCTCAGTTGTATTCATTTCCTCAGATTGAAGCCCGGAAAGCAGCATTGGCGCAAGTGCAGGAACGCGTTGGGGCAGCCAACTCGTCACAGGAGTCGACTGTGGCTCAAATGGGGCGACTTCTAGAAATGGCGGAGGACTTGAAGGCTGAGAGGTCAGATTGGCAGAAGAGGATGCAAAGAAAGGTGGAATCTCTGACAGAAGTTGCTGAGAGAATGCATGAAACTGAGAAGACAAAGGTAACTGAGGGAGGGGTGTGCTGGCAAGACTGGGCATCCTTGTGTGTGTGTAGATTGCACAGGCTGCAATACCTTCCCTCATCCCTTCTATCAGTGTGTGGAAACATTTTTGGCAGACATGAACCACAGCTCTGCGATTGCGACCTTAGAAGGCCCAATGATGAAATGCCCACCCCATCCGGCAGTTGTCATTGCATAACAGTTGCATTACATCATCGTGATGATTACGTCTTCACTGCTAAATCCTGCACCTGGTGCAGATGACTCTGGCAGCAGATTTGGACGAACTGGAGAACCAACTAGAAGATCTTGAGAACGATGCGGAGAAAAAGAAAAAAGAGGCAGAGAAGTTGAGAGTTGCGATCAGCAGGTAAATCTTGATTGTCATTGGTGGCTGCTCTATTTTGAGCAGCTGCACTTGCTGCTGCTGTCTGACTGGCAGAATGTTGTACTTTTGATTGGAACGCTTGCTGTGAAACTTGCTATGAAAACCATAGCACTACTTCAGCAATGTCATGGACGTACACTGGCTGCCTGACCTTGATTGCTTTTGGGCCTCAAGGGAAGCGACAGAAATATCATATCATGTGAGTCGTACACTTGCCATCAATGTATCCAACAATGCAATGTGGGCACACTTGCCCATCTAGTTGTATCAACCCTTGGTGGTTTCCCATCCAGGGAATCGCATTTGCCCCAGTTGGCAGGATTTGGGCTTGATGTTTGTAGGGATGCTGAGGAATTGATTATGCTGGTGACAGCCCAAGTCCAATTGAAGAGGACGACCCACACAGTGCAAGTGCTGCAAAGGAAAGTGCCAACAGTCATGGAGCAGTGCACGCGTCGCCAGGTGAAGAACTGCCCTACCATTGATGTGCTGATATCTTGCATTGCTGTGTGCTTTTCGATTTTTCGTGGAGTGTTCGACTTGCGTGGCATGAGAGTTTGTTCGCTTCAGTATGGCAGAGTAGCAGCCTTGTTCTGGCACCAAGCTCGCTGTGTCTCAGGTTGGTGAATTGCCCCAGTGCGTTTGAACCAAGTGACGTGTTTGCTCCGGCCCCAGAAGTTCAGGGACATGCTGGTGTGCACAATGGTCATGTCCACTATCGTAGCAATAGTGCCTTTCAAAGGAGGTATGAATAGGTACAATATGTGATTATGCTGTGGGTGGTGGAACACCGATAGCATTTTGCCTACATCTGGCTAAGTGCCTGTTGGTGTGTTCGGTTCCAGGTGCAGCAATGGCTGCAGGTGTGCTAGGATTCGTGGACATGTTGGTCAGGATAAGTCAGAATGCACGAAAGAAAGGAGAGGAAAAGAAAGGGCCTGAATGACGGGAAGAGAATAGGGAGATGACTGGCACGCTGCGCTGGGTGAATTGCTGCCGGCAAGTCCAGCAGGGTACCCAATGTGCCCGAATTGCCGTGCTAAAATCGTTGGCGTCGAAGGAACGATTCAGAGCGTGAGCGTATAAGGATGTCGTGCGTGGAGGGGCTGCAGCTGATTACCTTCAATGTTCAGGAGACAGTGTTTATTTTGCGATTGAGCAATGCGACAAGCGTGTACCTGCCGATTAACACTACTTCCTAGTTGTGCTCTCTGTACCAGAGTGGCATTGGTGTGGTGCAGTGTTCCATGTGACCATTGCACAAGAGTCCGCTCATGGCACAAATTTGTACCTGCCTGGCGTCCTTGGACGGTCCGATTCGGACCTCGTCTGCACTGTTTGACGCCGTTTGTTAATTGGCCTACCAACCCCGAATGCCAAGCCCTTTCCACCTCGGCATGCATGCCACCGATGACCTCAACCATTGCCAATTCGAGTGCTTTGATAGCCTGTGCCAACCACATGCATTTTCAGAAATGCAGCAAGATATTGGAATGTATCTATGAATATGATTGAGCTTCGCTTGCCAACAGAAACACGACTATTGAAGAATTTCTTAGTGATTTTGGAGAAAGCTACTGTGGACGCCCCACAGCGACTCCATTGAAGACGTCCACGACGCCACCAGTGCGTGATCCTGATCCTCCATGTTCTGTCCTGCGTCTGCCACGACGACACCCCGTAGGTGGGAGAAAGCAGTGTTTGCCTCTTGTAATGCTGCTTGTAACAATCTTATGCCGCCATCTCACACGTACCTGCTCATGGGGGGATGCCTCTTGCACGGTCATTTTCCTTGTGCAGTGTGACAATTCCCACCCCGCCCTCACAGTCTGACTGGAACAGTTGTCAGAAACCGCAACCTACAGGCCATAGTCAGCGACAACGCGACGCCATGGGATAGTCGCTCTGTCTTTTCGCGTGGAATCCCATCTAAACCCTAAACCCTAACCCGAAACCCACTTACCAGGCGCTGGCCTAGTCAGCGGAAGAAGAACGGATCCACACGCAAGCGTCCAATATATCCTGCAACGCAGCGCTGGGACAGGCCGCACGTCCATGTGCCTGTCCCAAACCTTGCTTGCGCGCCTTGTTCTGCTGTAGCCCTTTCGAATTTGGGAAGCAAACGCAAGGTTGTTTGAAGGCGCCATGCGGCTCCTGCACTTTGGACGGCTCGCGAGGACTTTTTCCGTTAAGCAAGTTTTCCGCACGGGAGGCGCTGGAGGGACAATCCAGTGGAAACTGCCCTTGTGGGCCTGCGGCTCGTTGGGAACGGATGGCTTGGAACAGGTGCCTTGCAACAAAGGCTTCGCCTCGAGCTCGCCGACGATGTCGTCAAACAATGACAAGGACGACAATCTAGGTCCCGGTGAGCAGCAGTGGTCGTGTTCCTGCGCGATGTGATATCCGGCACCAAAGCGCAACACAAACTTATGAACTGCATAGCCCCTGTGCGTCCCGACTTCAAGATTTGAAAGTCAGAGGCCACCGTGTTGTGCCGCATTGAGGTTCGAAACAGGTTAACGAACCGCAATCTGGCAAGCCATGCGCACCTTCTTGGCCTTGCGTCGGAAGAGCTGGGATTGTTGTGTCGTTGTTTGAGACTTTTGCATTGGGCTGCACAGAATATATCTTTCAGGACCAGATGGTTTGGCCCTTGCCTCCCGATGTGCTGGCATCAGCAAACCCGGGGTTGGCTGAGGCAGTGAGGCATGATCGAGAGTTGACCAGGTGGGAATATTGGAGGTTGCGTTGAGAACACGCAATGCAAATTGTGCCTCCAGGGACAGTAGATGCCTCCCATTAGATTACAAGGAATTAAGTTGCACAAGGAGAGCATCTAGAACTCTATTACCAATGCCCTGAAAGCTGAGGGCTGGTCACCAGCCCTTCCTGCCGCTCTGCTGGGTGTGCGCGGCTAATATTCACAATCCTACCTTTGGCCAGTCTCGATCTTATCCTTTGTAAGCGCCACCTTACTAATTCAAAAGCACATTTTTGCAACACTGCACACCCCATACTCTGTGATACATTTGGGAATGCCATTTTTCCTGATATTTGTCAGTGGCTACTGGTTAGTGCCCCATTCCATGATGCATCAGTGTGAGGTTCTTTTGCTGTGTTAAATTCAGCAATCGCCATGTGACCACCAACATATTATGGTTTAGAAGGCATCTGGGCAGTTCTTTTCTTCCATTTTGCATTTTGGAAGCCACACTAATAAGGAAGGATGGCTGGAAGATTGCCTTGTTTTCAAATGACTGCTGTTCCTGTCTCTGAGGCTCTCAGCTTCTGTTTGCCACACAGAGGTGAACTGCTTTCGTGGTGGATGTCTATGCAGGAAGGCTGCGGTTGAGCGTATTTCCAAGATAGTGCTTGATCGAAATCCAAGCTGGCAGAATGCAACGATTCTTGCTGCGCTGCACATGCTCAAGGTGTGCACACCTGCTTTCCAGTGCCCAGTGTCGATGGATCGATTGTGAAAGTTGCCATCTCAGCATGACATCCTTCTTGAACATGCTGGCTGGTCTACTATCTGATCTGCATACTTGGGCTGCCATCAAGGGTCAATCGTGCTGCTCATCTAGCGCTTTTGCATTTCCCAGTGCAAAATGTGGTTGTGCCCAGTGGGTGCTGATGTCAGTGCTTTTGTACCTTTTGGCAGCCGTCTGAGCTGCAGCAGGAGCTTCAGCATTGTGGATTGGTGACAGTTGGGGATGAGGAGACCATGATAGGTAGATTGGCAGAATTCCTTGAAGTTGAAGAAATAGAAAACAGTGGCCGGCGACAGAGAAGGTGTGTGATTGTTCCCTCTGCTCAATTGCCCTCTCACATGTTCCCCTCCCATAAGTACTCACACATCCTCACTACCCGTGTTGTCTTAAGCATGGGCCCTGTGTCATTCGAATGTTCTACTCTGCAGAGACCAGATGATGGAGGATGAACTCGAGCAGTTACAGTCTGAGCCCTTGAGCAAGTTTGACTTTGTGCATGTCGTATCCCCTGACAAGGTCAGTACCTTTAAGGACATTGAGGTCAAACTGCAGTGCTGAAATCTTCTCTCCTGTCTTTTAGAAGTGAAGCGTTGTGTGGGTTGTGCTCAATACTCATGTATCCCAGTATCCTTACAGCTCTGTACATAAACACAGTATCATGGTGCATTTCACTCACTTCACTTGGAACTTCGTTCTCGCCAGACAATTATGTCCACCGTGGATGCAGTTGGATGGCCTCCTGCCACTGGCCTGTCATGTGCTGGCTGCGCATGTTTGCAGGAGTTGGGTGTTCCAGAATCGAAGTTTGCAACACCCCTCCAACCTTGGCTTTCACCTCTGCAGGTGGTGAAGATCATGGCAGATGCGCATGCCACAGATATTTGTATAATTGATGTGACAAAGAGTGCACGGTTTGCAGACTACTTTGTGTTGGCAAATGGACGATCGCTGAGACATCTGCATGCCCTTGCTGCTTCTGTTCTGTCAGAGGTAGGTGTGTGGCCCTGTGTGCAGACTTGCCTTGAAGTCACCAAATGGCCAACAGAAAGAAAGAAACGGAAAAGGCTCAGTGTATGTTGCAGCTGTGAACTCAATGAAGTGAGGGGCTCATGATGGCAGTGAGCACAAATTCCTTGTGGCTGACAGTCTGGGGAATGGCAGGCACTGGTTGTTCACAGTACCGTTAGTATCTATTCTTGTGCAGCCCAGGCATGGTAGCACGTCTGACATCTGATATGTCTGAGATTGCCACTGGCAGGTTAAGCAGAGCTGCCAACGGAAAAACATCTCACATGTTGCAGAAGGGGTGACGCCAGGAATTGAAGGGGAGATGGGCTGTGACTGGGTCGTTGTGGATGCAGGTGCGCTGCTTGCCAAGGCCCGGAGCCTGGCTCGTCATGCGCATATCATGCATGCTGCGGATCATGCGCATTGCATGTCATGCGCACCTGCTCTGTCTGCAAACCTTCATATTCTTCTGGGCTAGTGGTTGTTGGTTCTGCTGGTGCCATTCTGTGGTAACGGGATGCATTGTTGTGGATACTGTGCATACATTAAAGCATGCAGCACAAGCAGACGGCTGCTTGTGGTGTCACTGAACAGGAGGTTGGCTTGCTGCTATGCAGGCAGTGTGGTTGTGCACGTCTTCATGGAAGACGCCCGTCGGTATTATGACTTGGAAGGCCTTTGGGGGACTGAAGATAACATCAGGAGGATCACCACTGATAAAATGGTAGAGACGTTGGATACTATCAAGGTCGTCGATGAAGACAACCGGTGACAGTGGCATGGAACCACACAGTATCCACACTTGCTCAAGTTGGCGAGTCGTTGGGCTGTGACTGCCCATGCTGTGCCAATCGTGGAAGATGTGGCAACCTCTGCTGTATTACAACCTGCAGCTGTGAAAAGGCGATTTGCAGGGATGGTCGTGATGGTGGGGCTCCCAAGAAGATCGCCAACAGGTGCAGCACCATGGCCAATGTTTGGGGCACACCAGGAGTAATCAACCTGGCCCTGTGTTTTGAGGCTGGGGGCGTCTGGCTGTCCTCAAAATGACTTCAGCTGGACAAGGCGTGTGGTACTAGAGAGTTACTGGAATCGAAGATGAGGGCACAACAATGAATGAAATGTGCAGATGATCGATCAGCATTTATGTGGCTTCCTAATTTGATCAATATTTCGCTCTGAGGTGTGGTGGTGCATCTGAACGAGCCTGAAGGAAACTGAGAACGGTCGTTAGTGAGCACAGGTTGCCTTGTGGCCTTGGGGAGGCTTTTGGACTCACCACTCTTGGCGAAGAGGTTTGGTCAGCAGAGCATCTCGATGTATTCTGCAAATAAACCTGAGGTAGCCTGCAGCACATGCAATGGACTTTGACAGCATGATGTCCAATACACTCATTTGCACTCATTTACACTCATTTGGCTCTGATCAGCATGATGCCCACTGCATCGTTTCAGTGAATGGCCTAGACTGCAGATTTCAAAACGAGATCTACGGTTGTGCCTGTGCATCGAGCTGCCTTCGTCCTCATTGCTGATTGGACAACTGAGATACGAACTGGGAACCATATCAAATATCGAGGCCATCCTTAAACTGCTGCTTCTGCTGCTTTGGTTAAAATTGAAAGAAGAATAACAATTTGTACTGGTAAGAATTTCCTGCACATTGCTGTGAATTACAAGTCTATTGTCTGCCTTGCCCATAGCCAAGCCGAAACCATCCTGCTCCTTGGACACTGGCTGCTGAAGTCAGGCGCAGCAGCGCGTCTGTGCTATGCCCCTGGCGCGGGTTTCTGCTTTGTTGTCAATTTCAAAGTCCTTGGGTGTTCTTGGAGCTGACCTAACCAGCGTGGTCTCGAATCACCAACCCTGGGGCCCACATGGTGATAATGAGCGGCATGTGCCGACCCGAATCACCAACTCAGGCCAATCCCAGGTCCAGAACCGCCACCTGGACAGGAACGGCGGGCAGTTGAGATCTGTCAGTTCAGCGCGGCCACAGCGCAACTGCCAGTTCTCTGTGGCACAATTGTTTGCGATAACCAGGAAGTCACTTCAGGCAAAGGGCATGCCTATTTGTCAAGATTTCTTGAGACTGTTCTGGAGCACGTACATAACAATGCCCAGGCCACCGAGGGCAAAAGAAGAAGCACACAGAATGGATTCGTGCCAACCGCACGGCCTCATTGGGAATGCAGCCGTCGCTGTTTACTCAGCCACTTTAGTAGCCAGTCAGGCAGGCACCACGTACATGGTGAGGTACAATAGGTTCACTGTGTGGTCATATAATTAACTATCCTGTTAATGAGTTTCTGCCTAGGACGACGATGGGTGGGCGCGGATCGGCCAGTCTGGGCCGTTCCGTGCCTTTTGCCAGTTTGGGGGCCATCACTAGGCTGGTTTCTGTCACCCCTGTACTCGGGGTCAGTTCTGCCCGGCGGATCCAAGGGCAGTTGGGTTGAGCCTTGTACCTTGGACGCAGCCAAGGGGACCGGTCAAGCTGGCCCTTGGGTTTGGCGGGGAGTTTGGCGGCAAGTGGGAGCGGCTATTTTAGGCGCGACCCTTGGCGCCCCCCTTTATCTTGTTTCGCACCCGCCCGGCCCACCCTAATAGAGTGAGTTCGGTTAGCTGTGGGATGGAGAGGGAGTTGAGTACGAGGAAAGGGGAGCTGATTCTGGGTTGAGTCACCATCAGAGTGTGCATGTAATGTATTGTCGTGTGGGGAACACGGGGGGGGGGGGGGTTTTGAAGGAGACCGGTAAGGCAGAAATTCACTTGCCGTGCCTGCAGTTCTATTCCTGGAAACAAGCACATACTGAATGTTTCGTCGAATAGGAGCTAAAAAGTCCGCACCTCGATGCACCATGCCAACGTTCCAGGGTGTATCTAGGCCGCTTCCTGGACGGGCACATGCAACCTCAGCGAGTCATCGTCTTGCGCTCCGCGGGAGAACGGCAACCCCCTAACGGGTGTGCAGGCGCACAGCTCCGCACCGAGCGCCATGCCAAGCTCTCGGGCACTTCGAAGCCTCCAAATCCCCAGCCCACCCCGAAGCCGCACCCGACGCCAACACCTGCTTCGCCAGAGCGGGAAAGTCGTCAACTTGCACTGATCCCCCAGCACACCGGCAACAGAGCTCATCACCTTGGGACCAATCGCCGACGTGTCGGTACTCCCGCCGCTGTCGCGCCCCCTGCCCCGCCCCCTGGACCTGCTCCAACGCCGGGGCCTGTGAAGCCGCGAGCCCCCGTCCCAGGCGTCGATTTTCGCAATGTGTTGGCCACTGCTTGGCCAGGCATCATATCCTGTCGGCCGGCCCCCCTATTAATCTCTGAGAATATATATCTCCCCATTCTTGTTTGCTGAATTTCGGTTCTTGTTCCGCTGACAAGGCCAGTCCCCGTGCATGGATCAGTAGTTGGGGTTTAGGGTGTCCGAAAACAAGAACCGAAATTCAGCAAACAAGAACGGGAAGTAATTTTATGCCTTAATCTCCCAAAATATGACGTGGTGGTGACGCGGCTGTCCGGTTTTTAGGCCTTTTTAGGCCTTAGGGTTAGGGTTCAGTGTAACCTTAAGCCCGAAAACCAAAAAAAAACCCCTAAAACCATTTAAAAAAAAGTGGCAGCGACCGATGGGTCGCTGACTCACGCACATGCAGATGCACATTGAACGGCAGCCACTGGCAAGGCCAGGCCTCAGCTGGATGCCAGTGTTTGGGCCGGTGTGGGCGCGCTGCGGTGCCGGCGCGGGGCCGACGGGCGCGGCAGGCATGGCCCACCTGTCGTCCCACGGCTCGGCCGCGCTGCACCTCTGTGACTGGCTGGGGCGGCTGGCGGGCTCCTGCCCGGGGCCCCTCGTGCAGCGGGCGTGCCTGCGCGCGCTTGCGGACGGATCTCTGTGCGTCCAGGAAGGGGATTTCAGTATCCGATACTTCGCTTCGGTGGGCACGCCAGCTCTGGAGTTTTGTTCGACGCGCTTTTGTGTCGGTGATGGCCTCGTTGGGGCGGGGCCCGGCGTGAATCGCGTCGAATGCCGACAAGGGAGCAGTCCGGGGGCGTCCGGCGGAAAACGGCGACTCTCCGGCGGGGGGCTCTTGTCCATTTTGGAGCAGCATTCGAATCGCAGCCAGGGGGAGAGGCCTGCCAAGCGGAGGATCGAGCGACCGCGGGAGGACGGCGGCGTCGCAAATGGTTGGGCTGGACGTCAGGCGCGGGAGGTGCTGAGCAGATTTCAGCGCCCCCGACAAGGCCCCGGGCCTTTCCGACAAGAGGTTGAGCAAGCCAATGGGGAAAGGAACGGCTTCCAGAAGACTGTCAACGGAAGGTTGCCGCGGAATGGGGACACGATTAATGGCAAGGAAAGTTCCTCTGGCCGGAGCGAGATCGGGATATCCAACTCGAATGGTGCCATAGCTCTCAACCCATTCACAGCTTGGCACCTGCAACCCAACAAAGGTATGGTCTTGTGTGCCTTGATCCGGCTTTGCCAGTAGCAAAGGGATTTGATCGATGGATGATGGACGCAGATTACCCATTGAAAGTCTGGACTCACTCCTGCCTCTCAACGCGTACATAAAAGGGGTGAAGAGTTTTGCTGGTGGCCAGGGGTTCAGCTAATTCTTATGCTTCGAATAATCTGAATGATGGCGGTCTTCTGTCCTGCAGTACTCCTGTTTGAGCTCTGACATGGTCATCAACTGTCCCATGCTCCCAAAGTGGATTCCTTGCAAATGTTCAGCATTGATGCGTGATATTGAACGAACGGCATCAGACGGTATGTGCACGATCTTTGTGTGCAACAGAATCGTTGCCCAAGGACTATGACAACCGTTGGGCAAGACGAATGCAGAACAAACTTGGGGTCGACATTGGCCCTCCCATGGTGAGCATGCCGGCAGTTGGCATGATGGTACAACACACATCACAGCAGAAGGGAAGCCAGAAGATTCATGATGAGCCAAAGGAAGTTGTGTTGCCAGGAGATGTCACAGTCAGGCGACTTGCCCAGGGGATTGGTGAGGACTTGTTTGTGCAAGCATAGAAACACGATCAATCTGAAGGATGACATGGGTTTAGGCGTTCCAATCAAGTTTTTGAGGAGGCAGCTTATTTTTTGTTGTTATCATGAGAGTTGTGCAGCTGACGGCCAAACGGAAAGAGAGCTTTGCACAGCTGTGCAACATCAAAATTTGATGTTATGGTTCACCACTTGCTTTCAATTCCACACTTTTCCAAGTTGAATTACAGGAAACACCACCTAAATGACCACACCCTTGCTGCTGCAATTATGATCAGAAGTGGCAAAGTCAGAGCTTGAACAGCTGCATTGGTTGGGGTGACTCACCCAGGAGTTGCAGTGGGAGCTGCACATCACAATAGTTCTGCTTCACCATTTGCTGCCAAAGGAGAAGTGGCAGGAAAAGTAAGAGGCTTGATATCGGGTTCCATTGGAGTGTGAAATGGACATGTGGCCCCATACAGTCGCATTTCTAGTCCCTGCTGTCGTTGCGTAATCCACAAAGCTGGCAAGTGTCAAATTGATATGCAGGCCAGCACCTGCAAGGTAGTGCAGGACACGGGTCTCATTGCAGGGTGTGCTGGGTTGCTAAACATATGCTGTGTAGCCCAACAGTTCTGAGTAGGGCACATGCATGCCAACAATTCCAAAAGGGAATGAGACTGTCAAGAGTATTGTTCTTGCAACAGTAGGCAAGCCAAAACTTCATGTTCTGTCTTTGTTCAAGTGCACACCCTAAGCACTGGGCACTCAAATTGTCCTTGACGTGGTGGCACTCTTTCTACATCCTAGTTGCAATGTGCTATTCTGAACTTCTTGAATACCTGATGCTCTTTGGAAAGAATACCATATACCCCCTGCGCCCATAATGCTTGAAAATGTGCTGCTGTACCAAAAAATTGCTGACTGTCATTGGTTCCTGTTGACGAGATTTTGACAATTTGAGCACATCCGTCTAGGTGTCTCAACAGAGAAGATAGAAGAGGTTCTTGGTTCAATTGGGGAGGAGATGCAGTCAATAGAAGACAGGTGATAAGCTGCAGGCATCCGCTGTTCACTAGGATTGTAGAGTGTTGTTCTGTTACTGTCGTGGCCGCTGAATTGCGAATTTTGTTGGTTGTTTTGAAGCTGCCAGTGCATTACTAATGACTACTGCTGGCCTTCTTGTCTGCCTATTGACCTGTTTGTTCCAAGCACATCAACGATGATTGTATCAACAGGACGATTTCTCTTAACTTTGCAGAGTTCCCATGGATGCTGCTGAGCTGGCGGCCGCTGAATTTGGCTGGGCAGTGAGTTGGGCTCAGAGCATCACAGGTAAGCAGATTGGATGGCCGCTGAACAGCAGGCAGTGACCAACAGCTTATGAGCAGACCAGAAACAGGATATAGTTGAACTGCTCGGCACTACCAGCACCCATAGCCCTATGTCATGGTACTTCCAATGCAATGCTGTGTGTGGATATGTTTCAATGTCCTTTCTTTCAGTATATAGGTGTTGGTGCAATGGTTTGCTGAGCATATATCAACTGCAGTCACAGGGTATTTCCCACGTTTCTGCTTGTGCTTCTTGCCCAGCACTTTGCATTGTAAGTTACAAAATTGGCACGGTTCAGCCTCGTGTTGTACTGGTGTTTGCAGAGCACTGTCTTCGTTTGGGGTTCAGGGAAGTCTAAGGTTGCTCATTGTTGCACTGCACAGGGAGTGGCACCAAAGCTGAGCCAAGGCCTGCAGTTGTTACTGTGATGGGCCATGTCGACCACGGAAAGGTATGAAAGACACTTGGTAAGCTTTGGGTGCTGCCTGTTCTGTAACGTGTTCTGTCTGGGCTTGCCCTGATTTATTTTTATTTTGTTGTTGTTTTTTCTAGTTGATAGTTGTTTCACACTTATGGATGTTGCGATTGCGCACACTTGTAGTTCTTGGGATGAGATGCTGCTTCTCAAAATGCCTTGCAGTCATCACTGACACAGCAGTTTCCAGGGGCCTAGAGCTGGTGGATGTAATTTATTCTGGATGTGGAGCAGAAATGGGCACATGCAGAGCTCACGCTGACAGGTGTTCTGGCTGACTGTGCGCAGACTACACTGTTGGATTCTTTGAGGAGGACAAGTGTTGCAGCTTCAGAAGCAGGTGGCATCACTCAGGTGTGTGATAATTCGCAGCTGATGTTTCTGTGTGGACGTTGAAGGCAGCCTTTACGCCCTTTGGGTTCAACTCCTTGACACACTATCCAACTCTGGCAAGAATTTTGTTGTTGGTTTGTCTTTTTGAATGTGTCACTGCCAGCAAACCTTTCGTGACTGAAGGGTGGCTCGTTGTCTGCTGCTTTAGCACATTGGCGCCTTTGAAGTGAAGATGCCAGGGTCCAAAAGGTCTCTGACTTTCCTGGACACGCCTGGACATGCAGCTTTCAAGGCGATGCGAGCAAGAGGGGCAAAAGTCACAGACCTGGTAAACAGCATGGAACATGGGCTGGTGACTGACAGTTGACATGGGGTTTGTGCACGTCCCTTTGTGCCCTTGCAGAAACTCGTGAGCTTTACGTTCACATCTCTATCTCACGTTGCTGGCATTTGATTTCGTTGGCTACCATGCAAGTAATGCAGGTGAACAAGAGGTGTACTTTGCTCCAGCCGTTGCTCCCTGATTCAGAAGCAGTCATCTGTGTGTGCCAACTTTATGTCTGGAATGTAAGCATCCTCTCTTGCATTCTAATTACCTGCCTTGGCACGTTGCCAGGTTGTCCTGGTGGTGGCTGCAGATGATGGTGTTATGCCCCAGACCAAGGAGGCGTATTCACAAGCCAGGGAGTGTGGGTGCCCCTTGGTTGTGGCTATCTCCAAGTGCGACCTGCCCCAGGTGAGAGGGACCAGTGTGCACTTCGTTTGGGAATGGCTGTTCTTGCTTACTTCTCTTTGAGTTGCGTTCCCATTCTGTGTGGTGTCGTTAGGCATCGCCTTCATGTTTCTGATTTCCTCATGCTTGTGAGTGCTACACACAGGCCAACGTTGAAAAGGCAAAACAGCAGCTGGTTGCCGCAGAAGTGGAGCTGGAAGAGTATGGCGGCAATGTCCAGGTCGTTCAAATCTCTGCAAAGACGGGTGCTGGGCTGCTGGAGTTAGAAGAAGCGCTCATTCTACAGGTCTGCTTGCCACTAGATTTTAAGTAGTTCAAGTGTGGCAGTTGGATTCTTGCAAGCTGGTGCCAAGCCTTGTAGCAAGTCCTTGCAGTGAACAACATTGACAGAAATGGAACATTAGAAAGAGCATCCCCTTTGCTGGTGGTGTTTGTCTTTTTTGCCAGTTTGGGCGTGTTGGTGCTTTGCTGATTGTTATTTCCGAATGCTGTCCACCATGGTTTGTATAGGCTGATGTGCTGGAGCTGTCTGCGTTGCGCGATGGCACAGCTGAGGCTGTGGTGGTGGAGGCACATTTGGACAAAGGCCTGGGCCCTGTTGCAACGGTGAGTGCATTGTGCCATTCTACTGTACTGTCTTGTGCCGTTATGTTTTGTCCTGTCCAATACCCACCTTCATGATGGTGTTTTGGTGGTGTGCTTTTGGCGTTCACTGACTGGAAGCAGCTTGGAGACTGGTATCTGTACGGAGCAGATCTGTATTCCTATTGCGTTTTTGCACAATGTTCTTCTCCATTCTATTGATTGCCATTGAACTATTATCAACAGCCTGGAGGTGAGGCCATAACAAAGGAGTTGGTGGTGGGCTTTCTGTGCCTGCCAGCAGTGCTTTGGCTCCTATTGGTTGTCTGCCAGCCAGTGCTTTGCTGCAGTTGTACCATAGGAATTGCTATGCAGGTTTTCTGTTCCTGCTATTTTGATGGGTGTTCTGTGTTTGCGTCTAAAGATCATCGTGAAGGGTGGAACACTGCATGTCGGCGACTCGGTGGTCGTTGGGACACTGTGGGGCAAGATCAGGACAATGAAGGTTAGTACTTGCTGGAAATGGTCTGCAAGGCATGGCGGCCAGCACTGCATCTTGCACTGTGTCCCATTGCGGAGTTAGCGCTGCATAGCATTTGTTGCTCGCCACTGTGAGTTGCACATTCCTCGCCAAAGGCCCAGTATCACATTGTGGAAGAATCCCAACACAGCACCTGGTGTGAATCTAGGATGCACAATGTTCTGTGTGTTCTTTGCCCTTCTTGCCGTTATGTTTTGTCTGCAGGGCCAAGTGAGAAATTGAAGTTCTTGCTATGAACCAAAATACATGTGTCACAGCAGAGTCCTTCTGATAGCAGCATGTCCAAGCTGAAGGTTTGCCAGCTGTTCTGCGTTTTTGCACTTGCACTGTTGCTCTTGCTTGGCTTGCCTTGGCCCAAAGACGCGTGGCTTGCTTTTTGTCCTTGTCAGGCCGATTTGATACGTCACTAGGGCCACTGTTGTTGCTGCCGATCATGGCAGGTGTTGTTCTTGGTGCTAACAAAGTTTGTGCCCTTTCTATTCTGTTCGTTCAGGACTCGACTGGCACACCCATCAACTCTGTGCTACCTGGACAGCCTGCTGAGATATGTGGCCTGAGGGGGGTACCCCAAGCTGGTGATGCGCTGTTGGTATGCATTGCTGCCTACCTTCATTGGTTCTGACCTTTGCCAGCAGCTGTTGACATGCTGTAAATCACACCAACAGTGTTGTGTGATATTGCCTGATCACAACTGCTTCCCTTGTTTGCTCTTGTGTGCGTCTGTCCCATTCGTGCAACGAGCTCCCCAGGTACAGGGAACAGTTGGTCAAGAGATATGACTACAAGGAACAATCTTGACATGTGCTCAATGTGTAGAATGTGTCAGCCCCTGGCAGTGTCCCTACTCATTGTCATCCTTTTCTCCAAATATCTATTCACCAAGGTGGATATCTCCTACTCATTCGCCAACGAAGTAGGATGCTACTTTTTGTACTGTCACAGCATGTATGTTGCATATATCGCTTGTGTCACATACGATGTCATAGTTATTTTCTTTGTTGAACTAACTGTGCTGTCGTCAGGCTGTGTGCAATGAGGACAGGGCAAAGCGTGTGAGTGACGCACGTGCTGCACGGAAGATGGCTCCCATGTTGCAGGTATGCTGTAGCCTCAACATTGAGTACAATCTGTCTGGTAGTGAGAATCTGATTTGGCTGCGGGTGGGGAACTGGTCTGTGACTGGTTCACTAGTTTTGCTGCTATTGGGTTGATGAAGACTACTAGCAATGGGGTGCACTGGACGCAGCTGCTTTTTGTCTTCTCTTGATGCTGATGTGTGTTTTGATTTGTGCTAGTCTTGTGCGTTTGTTGCTCACACCTTTCCCCATGCCGCCCTTGGCGTTTGCAGTACAACTGGGCCAATTTTTATTAGAAACTGACATTTTGGATATGCTTTCCTGCTCAGGTTCCACACATGAATGGAGTTTTAAGTGGCTGTGGAGAAACCCACTTTGTGGATGGAAGGTAACACAGCAGAGCACTGGCAGGGTACTGAGGCCAGAACTAGCAAAAGCACAGGGGGGCACACTGAGCTTGGGAATGTGCTGTGCGGTCTGTATTTGTCTCTTAACTTTGTGCTTGCATACTCTGGCAACACTGTTCCGATCTTGGGTGAGGTCGGAGCTGTGGTATCAAGAAGCACTTGGCCATAAGTGTTCTGCTCTCCTTTCAGTGCTCTGACAGGATGTGCCCAGTTTAAAAGTTGTACTTTGGCACCTGCATACCTTGGTTTTGAGCAACAGACAAGGTGTCGATGATTTATGTCTTCTGCAGGTCATCTAAAAGATTCCTGATTGTTGTGATGCAGTTTCAACATGTACTGCTGCCACTATGTTACATTGTCTGTGGTTATTTCACGTTTGTTTGGTGTGTCTCGGTGCAGAGCATTGAACATAGTTTTGAAGGCAGATGCCAAGGGGACGGGTGAGGCTGCCAGGGATGCGATCCTTCAACTTGGGAGTGATGTGGTGGGTCCACGCATCTTTTTCCCCATGTGTTCTTTTGCAAACTGCTGCTGCTGGCTGCAGGTGTCCTTTACTTAAGGTGGCGTGGTTTGCTTTTGCCTTGATGGATGTCGTCTTATCTGGAGTGCGTTGATGACTGCAAGACAAATAATGTTTGTCCCTTTTTTCTCAATCTGGCGCGCTGCATGGCATCCCAGCTACAGATCCCTCCCACTCCACCCCCTCTGGGGAGTGCCGAACGTCAGTTCCTTGAGGCTCATTAAGACACGATCCACTTCATGGGACAGGGTGCGGTGTGTGGGTGAAGGGGCTTGGGCTCATAATTGTGATGTGATGTTGTGAACCAAGAAGAGAAAAACAACTGGAGATGTTCTTTTGGCCCTGTGAGGATCGTGATGTCATCCACTTCGTTGTGTGCTTTTTTTGTTGAAAAGTTGCAAGAGCACGAACACAAGTCTGGATCTTTTGGGAGGAATGGAGTTTATATTGTGTGGGTGCTTGCAGGTGGGTGTGCAGGTCATGCACGTCGGAGTTGGCCCAGTGACGGAGACAGACATTGTGTTTGCTGCTACCACCAACTCGAGGATATTTGCCTTCAACGTCAGAACGACCACTGCTGAGGAAGCTTTTGCAAAACAGCAGAATGTGGACATCCATGAACATTCAATCATCTACCACATGTTGGATCACGTTGGGCAACTATTGATAGGTATGTTCAGGCAAAACACATTGATGCAGTGGGGAATTGCACTGATGGCATTCTCTCACAGGCGATGGTATCAACACAGAGCACTGCATTGGCCTCCAAGAATGCATGGTTTGTGTGGAATTCTCAGTGGTACTCAACTTGGATAAGACTTGCATTTTGCTGTGTTTTGACTGTTACATATCAGCCATTGTGCCCGTGGCAGACGTAGGCTGATGTTTTGCTGCACAGTCAAAATACCAAAATCGAAGTGGCGTTTGGTTGCTGTAGCGGTTATGTTTCTCGTCTGCACAAAGGCAAGGGTTCATTTTACAGAGGTTGACTGCAGCAGCATGCACGTGTAATAAGAATGCCACAGTATGTTTAGCTTTTGGGGGGTGTGAAGCAACATAAATAGCATTGGCATTTGTTGCCAAACGGCATAAACAGTATCTCGACATTCCTCCAGAGAACTGTCAAATAGAATTGACCTTGGAAGAGAGCCTTCCTTAGAATACAGGCACTGGTATCGACAGTGATAGTACAGTCTGAGGGTTGGCGCCAGTGTCCCATCCAGATCACGATCGTGCGTGATCGTGCCTGCAGATCACGATCGTGTGTGGTGTGTGGCGGCCTTGTTGGGGGCCCAGCAGCACAGCCCCACAGCAGTGTAACACTAAGTACTTGAATCCATGCACGACAGCAATTGCTTGTACGACTCTGTGCTGTAAGCTCATCGCCCAAGCGAAGAGTTGGCAGTGGTTGCCACATAAAACGCCCAGGTTGTCATGGATTCGATGTTGTGTGGTGAACTGGAGTTTTCGGTGGTCAGAGTATTTTGGTTTCTGTATGGGTTGTGAGAAAATGGCGTTCACAGCGTGTTTGTGTTCATGCGACCCAGCCCCATGCTGGTTTCTGCCAGAAACTGTCCTGTGTTGTGTGGCATCGACCGTCAGCTTTTGCGTTGCTTGTGAACGGAACAATGTGTTCTGCGGGGTGCATGAATGGATGGGCTCGGCACGGTGTAAAAGACAGTTCAGCTCCTGATCTTGACCTGTGGTGGCTGTGCGTGTTGGCATGTGGGTTCTGACGCCTCGGTAAGGCGTTTGCTGGTCACTGGATGGTCATTTCCATTCAACACTAGTGCTTGGGTCGGCCATCGATGCGATGAGTTGGCACAGCTGTGCATTTTCCGCAAGCCCACTCAGCTTGTGCTCTTGCCCCTGCGACTGTTGCAGATGCGATGGTGAACAGCAGAATTGGGCGACGCCTGTTCAGCAAAAAATGCAAAAGAGTTCGCCTCTTTGAGAGCATTGCGAAATTTCGAAATGCCAGATATGCTACTGTATTGAATGATTTCTTCTCCTTGGCAGGCATGCCATCCCTATGTGGCCTCATCTATGAACATACTCTTTTTGGCTTTCGACCATTTTGGCCCATTTTGCTGCAGATATTGCCCCAGCATGCCATGATGAAGTTGTGCACGGAGAGGCAGAGGTTCTTCAGGTGTTCAGCCTGAAGGGGAAGCGGTATGTCTTGATTCGAAAACTCTTCTCTGAAACAGTCAATGAGTCGATTATTTCTGCAAGTTTTTTGCATTTTTGTCGGATTGTGCATCATTGTGTAGTGGCTGCCTGCTGTTTGGTTGAAACGAAAACGAGCAGTGTGACAATGAGTTGAGGCCACCGCCACAGGTTGCCTTTGGTTTGGGGCGAGGGGGCGTCTGTGCACAGACGGGTGCACGCATGTTTCCTTTTCCTATTCGCTGTTTTTTGCAATTGTCTCGCGATGTGGCGCAGGGGGAACACTGGAGAGATGGTGGCAGGATGCAAAGTACTGGAAGGGCAAATGCAGAGGCACGCGTCCTGCTTCAAAGTCGTCCGAAGTGGAAAGGTGACCTTGGTGCGGCAGTGTCTGTGCTACGCAATGCTGCGCCAGTGAACAAGGAGGACCCGTTTGTTGGAACGGATATGGGTGCTTTCAATGCCTGTGCTGGTGCGCTGTGCCGCTATTGCTGCAATGACAACGTCCCACAGAATTGCTGGTCCGGAGTGCTCGAGTCCGGGGTGGATACCACGCATGCAGAATTGGCAGGTTGTGCCTATGGTCTGGGGATACATTCGATGTCTTGGGGAGCTTGCTTGGGGCAGCCTTTGAGCTCTTGTCACAATTTCTGTCTGCAGGTCGTCTCCTCCACAGCCTGTTCCTCGTTACGTCGTCACAAACTGTCGGTGGAGAGGGTGGGGAAGGGGGCCGAGTTTGGTGCTGTCCTTGAGGGCTTCACAGACTTCAAGCAGGTACTGGCAAAACAACAGAACGCAGTGTTTGCCATTGTATGATGCCACCCTTCGGATGCCGCTGACGTGATGAGAATAGTTTGGTGAATAGACTGGTGTGTCGGGAACGTTCGTACCCATAGGTACAGGAGAATGCCACATATTGTTCTCGCCAATGCTGGTGTGCAACGTTGCGTATGGCGTGTTGGCTGCAGGGCATCTGCTGTGTTCCCGCTTTAGCGCCCTGCACTCACTTTGGGGTTCGGCTCTGCAGGGCGATGTGATTCAATGCATCGTGACTGAAAAGAGGAAGCCGAAGACTGAGAGCGTGCTGGGGGGAGGTCTCCGAGTGATAGAGGCACCCTCTGCTCCGGAGTCGGAATCCACGCGTGAGGCCGCTGCATGATTCGTACAGACTCAATGGGGCGATTGGCTTGGCCGGGCCCTTCCATCCTCTGAAGAAACTTGGGCTTTTGCCTGTGGAGATGGGCCGTTGTGGAAACATTCGACGCGAATGAACGATGCAACAGATGTGGGGTGCCCTTATTTGATACTTGCAGCGTTTCTTGGCACACTTGGATTGTGGAAGACCGAATACCTAAGCTCTAGAATCAGGAGGTTTTATTATTGGGGTTCCTTCGAATTCTTTGCCACAAGCTGTGTCGTGCTATGGGCAGGCCGACCACAGCGAGTGCCCCATCGGTTACTTTCATTCTTGTTTCATGGATTGATTCCTTGTCGTTCTGGTTTAGTGGCGATGGGGCGATCTTCAGGGATAGGTCGACGGGGGCCCGTCTCTCACGAGACTGTGGACTGTGGGGGAGGCTCTCGTGGTTGCCACGAGGTATTGACAATTGGGTAACGAAATTTTTTGCCCTCGGGTCTGGGGTGCTTGCTGCATGACGGGGACATTGCGTTCGCTGCACGGTCATGGCCCCCAGCTAGTGCAGATTGCGTGTGGAAGCCTGCTGCGCCACGAAAATCCATGGCGAGCAACAGACAAGGCCGCCAACAACTTCCAGGGAAACAACCAAAACGACCTGTTGAAATTTCTGTGCCCCACCTCATGAGCAAGCTCAAACAGTACAGTCAACAGCATGGGTGTTTCTGGGCTCCTCCCAGGGCTTTGGTGCATCCCATGCCAACGACGCAGTGGGCGCTGTCCCTGCTTCCAAGCAACCATTTGGTCACTCCACGCGCTGTGTCTGCGCCTTAGATGGCGTCAAGTTTGTGCGGTGCAAGTGAAGAAAGCGTCATGAGGAGCGCGACGCTGGAGAGGCTCCCCTGAGATCCGCACCATGACGCTGTGGCAGGGAGCCCATCCGAAACGGGTAGCGGGTCCGGAGTTGGCTCACGCACGCAACGGAACGGACGGGACTAGTTCCTGCGCTCCCGATGAGACTTCCTGGACTGGAAGCGGGCTGTTGACGGCGAACGGCGGCCCCCCGCGGCGCCAGGGACGCCACCTCGGGGCGGCAGCCTCGCGCTTTCCACGGCCGATGCAGCGCCGGTCTGGATTCAGATGACCTTCGCCTCGTTCCTCAGCTTGGCCACCAGTTCGGCCACCGACTTGACCATCACGCCGCCCGCCTTCTTCGGCGGCTCCTGCACCTGGAGGGTCTCCACCGCCGACGCCTCGTCCACCCCCAAGTCGCTCATGCTCCACTGCTCGATGGCCTTCCTCTTGGCCTTCATTATGTTTGGCAGCGTGGTGTACCGGGGCTCGTTCAGACGCAGGTCCGTCGTGACGACCGCAGGCAGGGAAATCCTCAGGCGCTGCAGGCCACCATCCACCTCCCGCGTCACGGATGCAGACTTGCGGTCTTCAGAGAGGACGACCTGTGAGGCAAATGTCGCCTGGGGCCAATTCAAGAGGCCGGCCAGAATCTGCCCCTGTTCCGACGAGAGCAAAGATCGTCAGAGACGTCACAGCCTGCGCCCCACGTGACGGCTTCCTGATGTGATCAGCAGCGTCACGCCGTATTGTGACCTTGGCCAAACTGTTACTCGCCAGGCCGTCTTACTTCACACCGCGAAAATCGGGGCATTCAGCGCCCACAATCGATTCCGAAATTTAAAGCCCGCTTGTATTCAATCTGCCAATCTGGTCCTGGAGACGATCAGCACTTTCTGTTTCATTGTCGCACCTATGACACTTGCACGTCGAAAGCACTGAAGAGTATTCTGCATCGCCATGCCAGCATCAGTGCTTGCACGCAGCTTGAAACCTTGCAAGACGCTGCTCTCTACGTGTTAACACCGACTGCACTTTGGAAATATGACACGGTGGGTACTACTGCTACAATACCGCCATCGGCTTTCACTGAAAACCCATCAGCGCCACGTTTTCAGATCGAAACAGTGCGTTGAGGGCTAACTTCTGGCCTTGATGTGTTCTCACTCTTGAGTGATCAAAATAGAGTGTGTTGACGCGCGAGACAGGTTTAGCTGCGCGTGATTCTGACACCATTTCCTGGACGGGGGTACTCCGTTTGCACGACACGCCATTCGCACAGCCTGCAACAGCCCCAGGGTGAAGAATGCGCAGCAAAGGCCTAAATCATCATCCCTTTGAATGTTTTTCAACCGTCCGCATACCTGGAATGCAGGGGGAGTGTATTTTCCATCACAACAGCACATGCCAAATCGTCGGACAAAAATAGTAGATGCACAACAACTGCGACGTGGATGACCAGATTGAGCTGTTCTGGATCAAATTGGGATGCTTGGTCGGGCTCCATTGTTGGGGACTGGTGCGCCACGTTCTTGCCTGGGTCCCTTTGTGTTTAGATGGCAGCTTTCGCGGTCAACCATGTTAGCAGCCTTAACAGCATCTATCTGAGGCCTTGGCTGCAAGTCAGCAACTTCACAGGAAGCACATGAGCCATGGCCATTGTGACATGTGCGTGATTCAGTGCAAAATAGGCATTAGATGTAGAAAGTGACCTCCCTCTGCATGCTATCAAGTCATACGTTCCGATTCTCGAGCTATTCGCAGGAAAGTTGCCCCTGTAATATTGTGTTGACAACAAAGAAAGAAACAGATGACGTGCGCATGCTGTCAGGCCCGCTGACAAGCTGTGTGGGCATGGCACTTTTTCACAATATAAAACCTTCTGTGTCCACCCTCTACTTCAGCTGCCCACAAGGCTGCAACGCTATCATCCAGCAGCTGTATCAGCGCCCACCGTCTGATTGCAGTCGTCATCGATCGCCTGCTTTCCCAGCATCACCATGCGTGCTTCAGTCTTGTTTACAATCTGCTTCAACACCTGGGCCACTGACAATGGCTGAAGACTTTCGCCACCTTGCACGTGGACTGCCCTATCGGCGCCCATGGCCAGTGCAGTGCGCAAGGTGTCCTGCAAAAATAGCAAGCCATGTCGGTGCAGACAAATTCTGTATCACCCTGTCCAGTGGCAATCCAAGATCATGGGTCATGAGGTCGCTTTCTCGCCCATGTTGGTTCTGATGTTCTGCCTTGCTCTCTGCGGTCTGCGATTTCATTGTATTTGGGGCCATCCAATCATCCTCTGTCTAGTGGGAAGCAGTTCTTATGCCGTCACTGAGGAGACGCCCAATGCATGGCAAAAGCTGGATTCAGACAAACCATTGATGGCCTTGTCCATCCATGAACTCCAAGCGATCGGGACCAACACTGCGGCAAAATGCACATGATTGCTAATAGTAAGGTACAATGATGACAGAATGTGTACCTTTCCAATGCCGGTGGGCTGGTGCACATTTTCTTGCACACCATTCAAAGGTTGCAAGGGCCTGGGAACTGTCCCATGCAAGGAAAGGATAGGGGGCCAGAGTGGCAAGACATTCATGCCCAGCCAACTGCATTAGCTAGTGCATAATGTACAGGGGGCTTGATTGGTTTCACAGGTCCAGAAACGAGCTGAGGGTATCACAACGGCATCCACATGGCAAGTAGACTTCTTCCATCTCCAGTGCACTGTATACACCTGCATCGGCCATGCCAGAAGAATGTTCTGCACACATTCACCCTCTCAAAGCCTTGCCTGGCACTGTTTTGGTCCCACGCTGACTGCAATGACCTCTTCTGCAAGCTTCTTCTCCTTGAGTCTCACAGACTCCTGGGCTCACGAACAAACATGAATATCACATTCAGTATCTGGCTTGGCCCCAGGTCCCAAGCCCCAATATGGTGTTGCTGAACAGAGCCGTGTGCCCAGATCCAGACAGCAGATCCACTTCACAGAAAGCCGATGCAAATTGAACAGATAGCTCAGCAGTCCGATGATAGCCGTGGTCCACTTGGAATGCCCACTAGGGCAAAAAGGCCAACACAACTGCTTCGAAAGATGCCCACAAGCAGCGCCCTAAACGTGCTAGGACCATTCGACCCCTTTCAAACAGGAAAGAGACAGGTGTATGTATCGGATGGAGCTCCTCTCGTAGTCCCATAGATGGTTACTGTGCAACATCCCTTTCCCACAAAGGCATTGGCAATCAGTGCTGCATAAGCATCGGAAGAAACTAAGCACTGACCCATTCAGATCAGCACACCCGAGCCTCTGTGATGATGACGTGGGCCAAGCCAAGATTAGAGGAATAGCTCTGGACTTGACACGAGCAGCCCTCCAAACGGCAGCCTGGCCTTTCGTCCAGCAAGGGACACGCCACAATTCCGAAGCGACAGTTGGTGGGGCGCACAAACAGCAGCACGTGCCGCCAACGACGCGACCACGCGCCCACACGCAAGTTCTTAGTTTTCTGAAGAGCAGGGGTGTCACCTCGACAGCGATCTCGCAAAATGGGTTCATGCTCATCCTCACTCCCGTCGTGTCCACCCCGGTCTGCAGCAGTCCGCGCGAGAGCAGGATTCAGCGGGAGGTGCCCTGCAGTCATCCAATTCGCGCCCTGCGGGGCGCACGGGGCCGCGGCGAGTTCCGCAAAGCAAGAACTCACCTTGTCCGCCTTTACCCGTATTCTGGCGTTGTAGTCGATGACGCGTTTCACCGCGACAAGAATCTTCATTTTATTGGAGGCGTCCAGCCCTGAAAACAGGCGGCCCTGCCGGACGGACAAAAGCGCCACCGGTGCTGCTTTAACTCCTGCTGGCCCCACACAGCCATGGGCGAACACAAAAGCCACACACTACCGCGCGCCGCGCACTGCACACAGGTGCCAAGTGGAGTCCACGTCAGCACTCCACGTCAGCCCCCTGGCCTGAAATGAGAATATATTAGTCCTTCTGCTTATTCGCTGAGATTCGGTTCTTGTTCCGCTGACAAGGCCAGTCCCGGTGCGTGGATCAGTAGTTGGGGTTTAGGGTGTCCGAAAACAAGAACCGAATCTCAGCAAACAAGAAGGGGGAGTAATTTTATGCCGCCTGAAACTAGCCGCTCTGTCGTTTTGTGGATCCCATCTTGTTTCGGACACAATACTTACTCACTGACCGGCGTTGGCTTTGTCAGCGGAAGAAGAAGGGATCCGCACGGAAAGGACGGAGCGACTAATATATTCTGCTTCACGGGGCATGAAATTAGTCGCTCTGTCATTCCCGTGATTGTCGATTCTTTTGTCGTTGCGGGCGAAAGTTATGTCAAGCAGGGCGAGGTGTTGCGCCGCAAGCGGGGAAGCTGCAGCAGGCTTTCCGCACCAGCTAGAGTGATATCCAACGTGAGGACAGTGACGCCAGTGATTGAGGCCGACGTGACGGCACCGAGAACACCGCTCATGCCGCACGACTTCACACCTCCGTGGCTTTCCACCCCAACTTCGGTGGCGAAACCGTGCCGTCATCCTTCCTAACGAGTTTGTTTGCCCTGTGCAACCGCTTACTTCTACCAGCGCCTCCTACCACTTACGCGGGCCGGGAGCACCAGCCCGGAGGCGCAAACACTCAGCCTCTCGGGCCGCACCACCACTGCGCAGCAGCAATGGGATTCAAGCTCCTGGCGGAGGTGGCTCCCGCGCGGCCTGCCAACGGCGACAGGCCATCCGTGGGGCCGACCTACCGGAAGGCCGACTTCGGGGACCGCGATCCCGCCCTGGATGACACCACGACTCTGTACTCCATGTTCGAGAGCAGCGTCGCACAGTACGGGGCTGCGAACTGCCTGGGCCACAGGCCCGTGGTGAACGGCGCGCCGCAGGACTACGTTTGGTGGACGTACAAGGAAACGGGGGCGAAGGTGGCGGCCCTGGGCTCGGCCCTCCAAGAGCTGGGCGTCCCGGCGGGTGCCAAACTGAGCGTCTTCGGGGCCAACTGTCCCGAATGGATGCTTGCCATTCAGGTGATCGCGGGTAAAATTTGGCAGACATGCCCGCCCCTTGAGCTATTTTCGTGAACAAGGCGAGAATCTGCGAATCCGCCTCCCCTTCGGTTCTTCGTTGGGACGACCGGTTTGTCGGCGGTCACCCGCGGCCGAGCGCTCCGGAGCTCAGCACCTCGATGCTGCGCCGCAGGCCTGCAACAGGATGAGCTACACGTGCGTGCCGTTGTACGACAGCCTGGGGGAGAACGCCGTGGAGTACATCCTGGGCCACAGCGGCGCCTGCGCGGTGTTCGTGTCGAAGGCGAAGTTCTCGCAGCTGGCGGGCGTGCTGCCCAAGCTGGGGGGACAGGTCAAGGTCGTCGTGCACTGGGGAGAATCTGACCAGGCGTCCATAACGGCAAGGCCACCCGCCTCCGCGCCACCTTGCCCGTTGCCGTTTCTGTGCAAGTCCCTTGTGGATTGCGAGTCGCCCATGCGACGCCATGTCTGTTGCGATCCCGTCACGTTGGGGTGGCGAAAATGCGGCCTGACCATAGTGGCGCTTGTGCAGGCCGCCGAAGCTGCCGGTGCGTCCGTCCTCTCTGTGGATGGCATGCTGGAGCTGGGCGCCAACAGGCCCCACGGCGCGGTGCCACCCAAGGTCGATGACCTATGCACGATCATGTACACGAGCGGCACAACGGGGCAGCCCAAGGGCGTTATGCTCACGCACAAGGCCCTCGTGGCTCGGGTGCTGGGCAGCGCCGTTTTCATGGAACCCTTCGTCGAAAATTTGGGCCCTGGCAACGTTTTCTTCTCGTACCTGCCCCTTGCCCATATCTTGGACAGGTGAGCACCGAGCGCAGGCTGATGGTGATTTGCACAGGCTTCCTTTGCACGTCCTCCCAAGGTGGCCGCAGCCCAATTAGGCACGCACGCATGGATGCGCCACATAGACACTGTACATGGAGTTTGTTGAATAAAGCTTACAAGCCACCCTTTCCGTTCTGTGCTTGCTGTGCACTGGCACCTGCTCATTTGTGCCGGTGCACCCTCCATGCATTCCCCTAACCGCTTGAATATTCAAGTGGTCAGAGGACGGATTTGAATATCTAGACGAAGGTGCTTTGCTTTGTATTGAGCCCCTCACTGCCTGCCTGATCGCAAATTAACTGTTGGAACAGATATGGACACAAAGTATGACTGGATACCTTTGCTTCGCTGCAGGTCTGCAGAGGACTTTTTTCTGTATGCTGGTGGCGCCATTGGCTACTGGCGGGGGGACCTGGCTGGTCTTGCGGATGACATGGCGGCCTTGAAGCCCACGATATTAGCCGGGGTGCCTCGTGTGTTTGACAAAATCTATAGCGGTGTCACCTCCAAAGTGTCCAAGTCCGGCTTCCTAAAGAAGTGGCTTTTCAACTACGCTTTCAGCAGGAAACTTCGAGCCCTGGACCGTGGCGTCAAAGCTGAAAAGGTGGGGTTATACGGCCAGCGATGGTCGCGGATCGGTGTGCAATTCTGACTTGGAGCATTCGTTGGTTGTCAACCTTGCGGGGCGATCAGCTGGCGCCTCAGCTGGTTGATCAATTAATGTTCAACCGGCCGACCAGCTGATCAGCAAATCACGATTGACGCACAATGTACAATGTACGCGCACATTATTCGTTTGCTATACTGGGGAAACAAAGCTTCCAGTATGATGAGCTTGTTGGAATGAATTCAAAGAGAAGAAAACGACAGAATTGTCACAAATTGGCGATTCCTCTCCTTGCATTCGTACAAATGATTTGCATAAACATGCAATGCCTTTATCCATAGTTGTACGTTAAAGCATAGCTGATCAAACACGAATACGGATTAATTCGTGAAGAACCCGTCTGAATAGCAGAATGTGGCAACCAATTGAAGATGCCATTGGGGACATACCATGGAAGCCAAAAAATATACTTCGAAGTTCTAAAAATAGTGAGCACCACACACTTGCGAGAATGTCCCGTTCCATGAACACCCAGCAATGGGCGGTACACAAATTAGAATATCTCTGCTCCACTATTACTGCCCCAAATCTACGAGGAACCAATGCCTCACTCTCACCAACATCGCCACTGCTACTACGTAATACATGGACAAGTACACTTGTCCATGACTCAGTAAATTGTGCCCAATTCAAATCTCTACATTGCTGTTGATGGTCTCTGCGCAGGCCTCGCCTCTAATGGATCGGCTGGTATTCAATAAGATCAAGAACAGCGTTGGGGGCAGGGTGAGCCTGATAATCACCGGCGGCGCGCCCATCGCCAGGCACACTGAAGATTTTCTGCGGGTGACCATGTGCTGTCCAATCGTCCAGGGATATGGGCTGACAGAGACAGTCGCAGGCGCCTTCTTTACTATTCCCGACTGCGAGGTAAGAGAAATGCAGAGACACTCCCCATTGCAGACATCTGCTACATGGTGCTCCACCGCATTTTGTCTGTCCATATGGCCTCTTCTCAAGTCAGCGAAATGCTGACGGTATTGCGAGGCATTGAGACACACAGGCTGATGTCTTGCTCCTAACCGTTTGAGGTCAATGCGCAGGGCATGGCAGGAACTGTGGGACTTCCACAGCCTGTTTGCGCGTTTCGGCTCGAATCGGTTCCTGAGATGCAATACGATGCTTGCGGCGACCATCCGAGGGGAGAAATATGCATCCAAGGTCCAGCCACTTTCAGTGGATACTTCAAAGATGAGGCGCAGACAGACGAAGTGCTGGAGAAAGATGGGTGGTTTCACACAGGTTGGCCTGTTACTCATGTATCAGGAAAATATTAAATGGAGGCTCGCCTAAGCAGGGACCATTTCTTGCAGCAACTGAAGCGTCGAGGAAAGCCCACTGCCTGTTAATGCGTACGATCAAGGGGGGCTCATCTGACTATAACAAGATTAATCACCCTAAAAGCTGATTGCTTACACAGCGATGCGGTGCTTTGCTCAGTGATGATGCTCTGGAAAATATGGTAAATTCTGAATGGCTGTGGCGTTGAGTTCGCCCGCACGGCCTCACATTCAATGCACATGCGCTCTGAGTTTGGTATGCATTTAAACCATTAATGAATGAAATCCAGTTGATTAGCCAGATTTCAATCCTTTACCATGCCATCGAAAATGTATTCCGCATCATTGACATACACGTCGCTGTGTTCAAACATGGATTCTGTCTATCGTATTCGATTTAGGTCTCTTGAGAATACCCGTTGGCATGGTGCCTCGCAAGGCACCATATTTTGGAACCACCGCGCCCTTTGTTCTTGCAGATAGACATACCAGCAGCGCTAGTCTTCTGTTCTAGAAGAATGTACTGGAAGTTTGTCCTAATATTATACAACAATATGGCAGTATGACATGACGCACTTTGCTTGCAAGAGCTTTAGGTCCTATCCCCAAGGGGTTCGAAAAGAAGTCAGAAAGCCGCGATTTGACAACATGATGAGTACATGAGGTTGAAAGCCTCCAGCGGTACTTGACACAGATCCTCGGCCTTCAAAGATACCCATCCATAATGAGCAATGACAGGTGAACATGTACTACAATAATTTCATAATTCTGCAACAATTGAAAGACGTGTTCAGGTTCTATATTCGCCACTGGTTTGGTGGTTGGCACAAGCATGCTTCAATTTCTTTCTGTCCGTTCTTTTGCGCTGAAGTGCTGCCAAGTGCTGAAGAGCATCGACAGTGATACCAATTGATGCCGAGTCTCAGGCAGATCGATAAATGGTCCACAACCAGCCGCAAAACTGGCTGCATTGTGAATTCTATGTTCGCGCTGGTATCTGGGATATTTGGCAGTCTCGCTAATGATGATTAGAACAGAAAATGCAGAACCGCCCGGGGAAGAAGCCGCTGCTCTTATCTCTAGCCTAAATGTGCGTTCACGTCCTGCAGGCGACATTGGCGAGATTTCTGGTGACGGCACTCTCAAGGTCATCGACCGGAAGAAGAATATATTCAAACTCTCGCAAGGTATTTTGCAAGCAAAGACCCATTCGATGACGCGACTAACCATGTATTTGCAGCATTGCCTAATTTTGAAACCAGCAGCAAAGTTTATGTATGCAGTAAGTGATGGATGTGATAGAAATACGTGACAGAAATCTATCTGCATGTTGGACTGAATTTTGTGACCTTACCAAGCCTGAAACTGAAGCTCAGTGCCCCGACATTGTCAGTTGAGTCATATCCGATGTCCCTGACGCGACATCGGGACTGTGTAGGGCATGAAGGGCAGAATCAGCGGATCGATGTTCCTCCGTTATTGCGCCCTGGGCGGTCTTCATGCCTTCTGGGACGGCATAGATTATTTGATGCATCAGTGAACCCGCTCTGCCATACACAGGCGACTTCGTGCATCGACGTATAAGAGCATCGACAAGCGCGGTTGTTCGCCGCTTTGCATGGCCTTGCATTATCCCGCTATTTCAAGAGTAGTGAGGGAGCCGGGAGAGGTGGACGAATTGCTTTTGCTGTTTGCAATATCTGCAAAACTTGCATTTCAAGGGGTTTGCGAAAGCACAAGTCTTGCGTGCAGGTTCCATGATTCCTGCGAAAGGCATCAGGCTGTGCAGACTGCGGCGGGCTCCCCAAATCACGTCCACCCATATTTTTCATTGTGCGCAGGGGAATACATTTCTGTGGAGATGGTCGAGGCAGTCTACAAGAAGAACGCGATGGTCGAGCAGGTGTGGGTGTACGGCGACTCGTTCAAGAGCTACCTTGTTGCCGTGGTGGTCCCCGTGAAGGACGCGCTGATGGTGTGGGCATCTCAGAACGGCATTTCCGGATCCTTCGAGGAGGTTTGCGAGGAAGCCAAAGCGCTTGAACACGTGCTGGACGTCATGAATGTGACTGCCAAGGAGGCGAAGCTGAGGGGATTCGAAAAAATCCGAGCATTACACCTGGAGCCTGAGCAATTCAGCGTGGTCAACGACACCCTAACCCCGTCCTTCAAGCTGAGGCGGCCACAGCTCCTGAAGAAATACGGCAAAGTCATTGGGAATCTGTACAGTGGGATGAGCTGAGCGCGGTGGTACGGTTCGCGAACTTCTAATGGCAGCCCCTTGGAGGCAGCCAGCGGAACGCTTTCCTGTTACCTGCACAGCGATTTAGATCCATTTGTTAATTATCTGTAGACGAGTTCGAAAATTGAGTGGGGGCTTTGCATCGTGGGGAGCGCTGACATGGGCGAGGGGGGTTGCGGCGAGAGTGAGCTGGTGAGCGGGGCTGCTTTTAGCGTGCCGTTCTCCGGTCTAGCGTAAGCTTGTTGCGGCGCCAATTGTCGAAATTGTTTTGCATTGTATAGTATGTGCGTCGCTCACGTTGTGGCAAGAGAAATGGTGCAATGCAGTGGAACAGGGCACATACAACGCGAATAGAGCGCGAAATTGTTGTAAGAAAGTAAGCGCTCTGTGTTCAGTAAGGACATCTGCTGAGCGCCGTGTACTGGCATGCACAGAGTGTGCACCTCCAGGCAGGTATGCCTGAGGCTCCTACCCTCTGACCTCAGAAATACATCAATCTCTTCCCGGCCTTTCTGCGTTGAATCTTCTTGTGGGTGGTGCTCCTATTCGATTGCACTGTGTCTGGACGGCCTCCGATAGTTGGAGGGACTCGTGCAACTGGGAGAAGGAGTATTTATATTTTGGGGGCTTTGGTTTAAAAATGAGCTGGGCAGGGCATTGCCAATGAAACTATCGCAGCCGTCATTTGATCAAATCACGGGCTGCGTCGAAATAAGAAGTTTCCTCGAAGGCTCCGCCTTCTGCATGAGCGAACAGCAGAATTTTTGCACTAGTCAAATGAATTCCTGCAACGAGCATCGACGGCCGCGTCCGATGCAATCCTGAGATCAGTCTCCAAAAGAAGATACTGAAATGTGCTTGGTACCAAGAGCAAATGGGCGCCAGTGCCGGTGTGAATGAAGTTCCACAAGCCTTAGAAAATAGTACTGCTTTAAGCCGCTTGCGGTGTCATGTGCTTTTTTTGTCGCCCTGGCCACGGAGACCCTCGGCATTGCCACTCCTCAAGAATGAGTCCACAGGACCCAGCTCTCTGAATACTGTGGTCATTAGGATGTGGGGGGACGCCGGATGCCACGTTGCAATTGAAACCAGTCTCATTCTCGCATTGCGGCATCCTTGACGGCAGCCAGACCATTTGATGTGGCTCCAAACAAGTGCAATCGATATTAATAAACGTGCGTGGCATAACAAGTTTAAAAGAAAAGGGCGCGCGAGACTGGCACTCCTGTGGGCCACAAATTTTCTGCGAGAACGCGGCGCCATGTTTGCTTGGCAACAACCAACCATTGAAGGGATGGCAGCGTTTTGAAACAACGAGCCGTGTCGAGCTGCTGTACGCTGTACTGATAAAACGCCCACGTGGCTTTTTTGACACGGCCCAGTCAAGTTCATACGCGCTGAACTAATACCAATGCCTTTCTTCTCAAATGAACGGAAGATAAAATCATTTGGTGCTTGTGTATGGCCACCATCAATTGCGCATTAATAAGATTGTAAAGAGATTTCCTGCATTATCGAAAGGCTTGGTATTTACGTTTGAACGTAAATTTACTCGTGCACTTGTTCGAGTGCCATGATGTTACAAATAGTTGACAAGCACCGACAGGAGGATGTCTACACTTAGGAACAGCAATACGACTCAACGTTCAGCCATATGCGCTCAATGAGAGTCACTAAGGACACAGCCACTATCACAACCCTGTCAATCGCCCAGGAGTTCTGAGCATTCCACTCTTGCACCTTCAACAACTCAGCTCCTAGGAGCTTACAGGATGATGGAAGTTACCACAATACGCAAGTTCAAACCCAACAGGACTCCAGGGGTATTGTCGAGCGCTGCCGAAGCGAGGCGCAACCCCAGCACTGAATTTCTCTCAGCTGTTTAATGCTCTGCCTAGCAGCGGTAATTCAGCACCGGCCAACGAGGCGACCCCTTACGCCACCTTTCACAGCTCCTGAAACTTCGTTCAGTGAGTCGCCAGCACTTCAGAAGGCTCCACGCAGTGTTGCCATCGTCGCACACTGATCGCTGACTGGAAACTTTGTTAAAAACGCTCAGTGACCAAATCGCAGTCGGCAAAGACGTCACTGGACAGCTGCCAGCGCTTCGCTTTGTTTCCTGGTACTGTGACCACTCCAAACGCGGAAGGCCTGGCGTTCGTTTTCCATGGCCGCCACCCACCGTAGAGTGAACGCGAACGTTCCCTCCCCCTCGTCCGCCGCTTGCCAAGCCGCGGTCGAGTCCACGGCCCCGAAGATCCATCGGTTAGGGAAGCCGGAGCCGCGGATGGCGCCCCATGCCAAAGCTCCACCGGCCCCCGCCTCGCAGCCCTGCTTGACGAGAAAGGCTGCCTCACTCGAGACGAGGGCCTGCCCAGCTTGCGCGTTCCTTGTGCGGCCAGGTCTGGATGCACCTCACCTTGTCGCGGGATGGGCGCCATCCATCGAGTGGGGATGTGGCTGGGCCCTGCCATCGCCCCCTCGCCAAACTCCCCGTCCGCGTCGCGACGCGGCGGGACCCAATCCGGCAGCCTGCTCCTCTTGACCCGCGCCATCAGCCCATCTTTCAGTGCTTTCCGGGTGAAACGGCAGCGTTGCTCCGTTCGGACCAGTCGCAGGTCGCGGGGCGCGGAGGCCTTGGGGGCGCAGGATGCGGGGATGTGACGAACGTGTACGACGCAGTACAATACAAAAATTACCAAAGGGCAGTTTCCCATACAGCCGCTAAGCAATAAAGTATTGTCAGCACCCGTATACAACGCCCCATCATGCTCCATTGGGTCCTTACACCCTTCCAGTACTTGTCCTGTCAAAGTCCTAGGACTTTTTGAAAAGTTCAGGTCAATTGAAGGACAGCCCCTACGGTCCATGGCTTCCTCAAAAGGGGCCAGAATTTGGCCTTCTTTCTCTGCGAAAGTCACCCAAGAGCTCCCTACGAACAGACCAGCCTTTTTCCAAGGGTGCTTTCCATCAGGCCTGTACACACTACAGCCCCTTTCTTTCCGTCTGATGTACCTATAGCCTCAATTCTGTGTACTGGAATTGTATGACTCAAAGCTGTAATGCCTCCCGTCAATCTAGGGGTCCAACTAGACTAGTTTCTGCCCTTTCTTTGGCAAAATGCCAGCGCAGCTGCAGCTGCCCGTGCTGCCTACCGACTGGCCTTAAAATGACCCAAACTACACAGGTTGTGCTGGCTCTGATTATCCCAATCGCAGGTTCACAGAATAGGGGACATCTAAGCCTAGACCGCTTTGAGTCAACCGTACTGGAATGTAGCTGCCTGTGCGCACGTTTGTTTCTTTGAGTACATAGTAGTAGCAAGACTATCAATATCAGCCATCTTTGTACGTTTCAAGGGAAAACTGGCCGAATATGTCCGTACTCTTTCCTACCACCTTTTTACTCGATTACAGTGGTGGCCACTAAATTGAATAGATTGAGCTGTAATCGAACACACTTTACGGTTTTACGTGTAAAAACGTAAACTTGCAAAAGGGGCTATTTTGCGGCCGTATTTATGTTTTTACGACTGTTTAGGCACCTAAGTTACACGATGAATGCTGCGTACGATGGTCAGTCCTCCGCCCCCTGGAGGATACCCAACATAGCTCCCCGGGCTACATGAGTCAATATGCACTGTGTTTATGTACACAGCGGGTGTTTACGTTGCATTTACGTATTTTAATGCCTTTTTATGCGTAAGAACGTAAAAGCTATTTTGCGTTGATAAACGCATATACAATACGATCAGTGTTAACAGCGTGAATGTTGTACCGGCTCTGTCCGACCGATGCAAATACAGACACAGCCACAGTATGTGGCTGCAAGGCAGGGCAATAGTGTGCTTACAAGGCAGGCCAGTGTCGCAACGAAGCCCCCTGATTGGCCCGTCCCGCCCGCCTGTGACAAGGGGCTTTGTGGCTGCTTGGCGTATGTACCGATACGATGATGATACGCTGGGTTGGTGTACAGGATGCAACGTGGCCCTAAACGACAGGTGCCTCATGTGCGGGTGAGTCACAGCTGGCGCCTCGCAATAGTGCCGTCGTGTGGGCACAGGTGGACAGAGGCGAGGACCGCCTCCCGGCCCTAGGGCGAACCACGACAACGTGTCCGCCTCGGGCGTCGTGGTGGGAACCAATGGAGAGCGAAAACGCCGCAGCCAAAGAGGTGGGCCTCCCATGCCACCCCGTTGTCGCGATGGCGCCACCAATTTTGAAGAATGGGACAACTGGGCACGCTCTCGTCGGACGCGATCGATATGAATGGCGCTCCTCCATCGTCAAGGCAGCTAGCGAACGCGCTGTCGATCTAGCTCGCAGCGAAGAATTAAAGTGCATGGCGACCAGCGTCCTTTCTGACCTTGCCCGACAGTTGGGCACGGGTGGCTTTCTGCGCGATGGTTTCGTGGGCATGCCGCCTTGTTCTCTTCTGGCCTGGAAACGGTCTTCCCTGATCTTTAGACGGCTGCCTTCCGGAGCGCGAGCCTTGGGCGTGCTGAATGCACGCTTTCCGCCCTTGCGGCGCGATTCTCCGCCTTGACGACCATTTAACTTCGCTTCAGGGGCCTGGAGCGCCGCGCAGCAAGTCGGACAGACTGCGACTCGTCTTCAAGGTAACAGGCACACGGAGTCTTGATTCCCGCTCTGTAGAGCCCATCCTTCCTCCCAAGTGACGATCACGGTTTTTCGTGGCAATGCATATAAACCCAAATGGTCGATCTGTGGGTCAAACTCGGTCGCCGAAACCGCCTTTCAGCTAGCCTCTGTTGGCCATTAGGACCCCGTCCAGAAGGCCAACGCGTTCGCCACCACGCCCCTCGTCCCGCAGGCGTCGCCGGAGGGAGCGACGCCCGCCCCCAGGACGCCCAGCCCGGACAGCCAGCGTCCTGCCGCGGAGCCCTACCTGAGCGGCCAGTCCAGCGGGGAGGCGTCGGACGCCAACGGCTCTCAATCACCCTCAGATCTGCTCGGCGCGGCGACGCCAGAGAAGAAAGAACAAAACGGAAAAAGAAAAACGGAAAATGGCGTCGCTGGGAGCGGGAGGGAGGCGGAAGCGGAGGACGTCCCGGCAGAGGCGGAGTGGGAGCGCAATGGGGAGTCCATGGGAGAGCCTGGGATGAATTCTGGATCGGGCAAAGGAGGTGGCAGGCGCGGGGGGGCTGAGGGGCCGCATGCGGCAGCGGGAGGCGAAGGAAGGGCGGGGGATCGGCTTGCGCGGGGCGGCGAGGGGAGGGGACGGCAGCGGTGGGAGGGGCAAGGCGTGGGCGGCTTGGCGGGGGTGGCGCGGGCACTGTTTGTGGCCGCCGCGGTGCTGATCTTGGTGGCGGCGGTGACCCTTGGCGCGTTTTGCTTCATGTGCGGGGACGAGAGGGTTCAAGACTTCATGAGGTGGGCTGCTGGGCTCGGGAAGACTCCCCTGAATCGGCCGCTTTCCTGTGGTAAATGCTTCAGGTTCTTCTGTTGTGGCCTTGCTGATCGTGGAAGGGAAGAAAGGTGACGTCCTCTGTTGTCTGGTGTTGGCGACGTGCGGCAGACCATTTCGCACAGTATCCCGAATGGTGGTTTGGTCCTGTCCATAAGAAAGCTTGAATTCAGTTGCAAATCTTTTGACACGACATAAGATTGAGACTTTCTGCTCTGGGCAGAGTTTCTGATTGTTGGCCCTGTATTATCCCCACTTATTTGCTTTCATGTAGCCAGTGCTCTGAAGTAACATACTGGATTTGTTGAACAATTGGCCTGGCACATCGCTTGCAGGATCTCCAAGCACATCAAACCGCAGTTCATTTTGCTGTTCCCTGGTCGCAACTATTATTGTGTTGGGGTGCTATTGTGCTTTCAGACGTCTCAGTGGTCCAGAGGTGAAGCCAGGAGCATTTCAGATGCCATTACTTGAAGCATTGGATCACCGGCTGTCTGAATAATTGTGTAAAAGCTCCATCTGAATCAAGGTCCAGGTTCCTGACCTCGCAAAATTTGTTATTGATTGCAGAAGAGAAAAATTTGGTCGTGACTGGAAACTGCTCACATTTTGATTGCTGGAGGCTCTGTTGATACTGACTGCATTAGTGATTGTAGTTATTTTCATTAGCCTTCACTACTGGAAGCACAAACAATTCTCCACAACATCACTGCAGATCACACACTTGGTGGTTATCTTTGGTTCATGTGAGCAGTTGCTGGCGCATGTTCCTGTGGCTTGTCCTGATGATCTTTGCTGCTCTTAACATGTGTCCATATGTATGGCTGACCACCAAACTTTACTTTCTCTGCCTAGAAACAGCTCACAGTTATGAACAATGATAGTCTGTCTGAACATATGCTCAGAAGCATGCAAGAACCAGCAGAAGTTGAAAGAAAATACCCTTTGGTATTGATATCATATACTTTTTGGCCCCAAGCAAGCCTGCTTGGCCGTGTCTGTGGTTGTATGTGAATGATCTGAATGCTTCTCAGGGAGAGGGACTTTCATCCAGTCTTCCAGATGCTGGAACAAGGGTCAGTGCTGAGAATTGCTGGGATCGAGATTCTCAAGCGCCTAGCCACTGACAGCAGAGTGAACAAAGAGGCACTTGTGGAGCTGGGGCTGGTGCCCATGTTGGTGACCATGCTCAGAACCCATAGTGGATGGCAGCCAGAGTTGCAGCATAAGGTGTTTGTTGCCGTCTGCTGCTCATGCTGCCAATCGTTGTGTGCTCTTGATAATGTGCATGAAGGCCTTGTTGTTCATACCCCATAGCATGCAAGGATTGGCTCCTTTTATCGCAAATGTGGGTGGTGCAGTTGTGGCTTTTCTGTATACTTGCAGGCCGTTCTCACGTGAAGATTTGTCAGGACTGTCTGTTGTCTCACAATGTTCAAAGAACGCATTGCTCAATGTCCATGTTCCTTGGATCATCCTGTGCGATGCCCAGTGCTGTCTATGCACTATGTCTTTGGATAATGTGAATCCTGTATCATTTATTGGACGATGCGAATCCTGCCAGACGTGTTGCAGGGAAGGTGTCCTTCAGTCGCTTATGCCAACCATCTCTTGTTGGTTTGGATCGAACAGGTGGCTGCAAGAATGTTACATTTCCTGTGCAAAGGTGTCCCAAAGCATGCAGATGCTTTGCTGGCGAGTGGCGGGGTCCCAGCATTGGTTGAATTGGTCCAGGAGGGACCTGAGGCAGAGAAAGCAGCCACTGCAGCTGAGACACTGGCTGTGCTGATGGCAAACCAAGACTCCGTTTATGCAGAGAGCGTTGTGGCAGCGGATGGAGTCGAGGCCCTAATTAACCTGCTTGAAGGTGCAGTGTCCTTCTAGGAGTGTGGCACACGCAAGACGATAGTGCCATGTCATTTGCAATTTGTTGATTCTGCTATTTGGCACTGGAGATGTTAAAATGTCTATCCCAGCTGTCATGAGGAATGCATGGATGCTTTGGAAGATTCCACCTTTTCGAGAAGAGGTGTTGGTGACATTCCTGGGCATGAGCTGACAGAGGTGCATCTGGTACAGCCTGCAAATCGATGCAGCAGCCGCCCTGATGTGCCATCGGCATACTCTTTGCATTTCTCCAATTTGGTCTTGCTTCTTTGACGAGCTGGGACATGAATAGCCTGAAAGCAGGGACGCTTCACACGCCCACCACCATGTTTAATGCCAGTCGACATTGTTTTCAGGGTGATCGAATCCTCAGTCCCAGGTCAATTGCTGAAGGTGTCTTGTGAGCTATCTGCGAGGGCTTGCATTTGCAGCAACCACTGTTCCTGTCCCAATGTGTTCCACCTGTGTGAGTGAAGAACCACATGCAGCAGGCAACAGTCTGTCATCCTGTAGCCAGTGTCAGCAGTCAGTGCCACTGGGGCTGAAGAATTGCCTCAGAGAGGGCTCAAATATGCCATTGTACTGCTTGTACATTGATCAAATTTTCCTCCATGTTGCCACCAGGCGCCGACTCTCCTGTGAGTACATCTGCTGCATGGGCACTGGCCAACCTGGCAGGCACCAATACAACAGCCCAGGATGCGATCAGGATGACTGATGGTTTGGAGCATTTGGTTCGATTGGTTGGGGCTGGCAGCGAAGCAGTGGTGCGGCTTTCTACCTCACAAGTTGTTCCCAGAGCTGTGCTGGTCACATGAATGGCATGCTTGCTGATTCTTGTGCTCGATGCTTTTCGCCTTGCACACATTTAGCAACTGACCTTCTTTTGTGCATTCACCTTATCTCGCTCTGTTTTTCCTGATGGTGACATAGTGGTTGCAGGTGCTGCTTCAATTCGCTTTGTGAGGTTTAATACCAGCCAGAGGGAAAGCTGCTCCTTTGCCATTCGTAGGTTTTGGTCCATGAGATGTCGAAGTGCAGCCAATGTGCTGTTTTGCACAGTTTTCCGTTCCACAATTCTTCCTTAACATTATCCTTTGTTGCAGCACAGAATTCGATGTTATGTGAATTGGAGGCATTTGGCTGGCAAATGTGGCTGTCACATTGTTGCAGTCATGGTGTTTTGCAGGATCTGACAGCCCATTTCTGGTGAATGCCCATTTCCCAACCTTGTTGAGGACTGCAATGTTCGATCAACAACAGCTGTGCACATTCACCTAGATCTGAAGCAGGGCTTGACAATGTCACGATTTAATTTTTCCCTGCAGACATCACATGCTGCCATCCTTGCCCTTGGCAATCTCGTTGTCCACAATTCACGCAATCAAGAGGCTGTGTATGAAGCTATGGGAGTGGACGCTGCTGTAACACTGTTGGAATCTTCCATAGATACCACTGCAGAGGATCATGTGGATGCTGGGATCAAGAGGCAGCTCATCGAACAGGTGATTAAATTTTTCGATACCAAGGCAATGCTGGAATTTTCTTAGATCTCAATTTTGTGCAAGCAAAACGCCTTGCCCTACAGGCTGTCAGGGCTAGTCAACTGCACTCTATTGCATTTGGTGCAACGAACTGGAAGACTGCCAATATATTGCTTGACGAGTGTGTTGATTCCTAATGGGTTGATGAGCATCGTGAAGGTCGAGGGCTTAGTGATACATCTGTGGTGATGGGCTGATTCGGGTTGAGGAACAGTGGACGAGATAGAGTGTCAGTCATCATCTTGCGCCTATCTGTTCTTGGGTCTCCATGCATTTCTTAGCAATCACACAGAGGAGGAGTCTGTGTTCAGCTGCAAGGGCTGTTGGCAGAGAATGTGCCACATTGGGTGATGGTGAGCTGCCTCTACACTATGCAGAAATCTTGTTTGGTTGTAGTTACCTCTCTTCAAACTATGTGCTTGTGATTTAAACCTGACAACATTCACTTGCACCATTTACATGACCACTGTAACATTTACATGACTGCTGTGTGCCCAGCACAATGCAAGCACAGCAGCACCGCAGTGTATTCAACCCTTCTGCATCAAACAATTTTACAGTTACACTTTTGTTCTGCATTTTTTCACAATGTTGCTTTCATGTTTCTACATTGCTCTGCAAAATTTTAATAAACTAGCGTTACTTATTTCAGTGTTTTCTCTGGCCAAAAAGGCCAAGCGTTACGTCACTACGCGGAAAGGTGGAATATAGCGCGGCAGACAAGATTGCAAGTGCAAATACTGCATGCCATGTGCCTGAATGTCTTCGTTTTCTAACCACAGGTTTTCGAGGCTTCCAAGGAAAGTGACGTTGTTAAGTCGGCAATTCGAAAAGTCGGTGGTGCCGACCAACTCATTCGTCTTGTGTTGCCTGAGGCAGCTGGGAAACTGTCATTTTGGGATCCTGACCGTCACGCTGTGGCCAAGGTCATCGAAGGACCAAATGGCACAGACAAAGACACTGCCAAACACATTATGGAACTACTTGCGATGCTGCAGGTCAGAATGGGAAGATGTTTACTCAGCTGAGAACCGATTGATGACTCCAAATTGCACCAATTGTTCCAACGTTGTGTTGGCATTGGCTCCCACTTCATCAATTGCGTGCATTCGTTGACCGTCTCAGTTCTTGGCCGTGCAGCATTCCGGTCAATGGCAGTACATTTTGCTGTCCAAATGACGTGCTTTGTTTCTTCCCACCTATCATGAACATGTGCCTCCACGTTGTGAACCTTCCATATCTGGACTAATTCGATCGAAATATTTTTGCCATTGACGGCCACTGGGACCGGCACAAATTTGGGCTGCAGAAGTTAACGGGGTCCACCTGATGGAGATTGAGCATTGATCCAGAACCTGCGACTTCCACTTGAGTACCACAGGCCTCAACAAGCAGCACGCCCACAACAACATATCCCAAAAAACCACGAAACCCTTCAGACTACACTGGTTTCTTCCTTTACATAGTCTGGGTCGAAGCTTTCCTCCCACAAATTTTGGATGTTCTACTTGGAAGGTCAGAACCTTAGCAACAGCGCAAGTGAATGTTGACGGTCTGGCAGTGTCAAATGCAATGCTTTGTTTAGGGCAGTTTGTGCAGCATTGTATTGTTCCCTCTTTCTGCATCTTGCCAGTTGTGCTATTGCCTAGGATGGTAGAGGAACAACTGGGAGGAGAGGCACTGCCCACTAGGCATTTGTCTTTTCGAGCTGCCTTCCTAGGTACTGTGTTCCGCTTGGAACAAACGCTGATTCAAGCCTCGACTTTCATTGTAGGCTGATCAGGGGCACGTGCGGTTTGGTGGAAGTTCATTCATGTCTGTATTCAAACGCCACAACGACCCCATCAAAGTTCACATTCGTTTGGCAGAGGAAGCAGCACCCCTTTCACGAGAGCACCTTGCTGACCGTGCCGCCTGGGCAATTGGAAACATCGCTGCAGGCGATGCCAGGTGTCAAGATGCAGTCAGGAAGGTGTGTGGGACTCGCAGCTGAGTTTGATTACTGAGCAGCGGCTGGCACATCCTCCAATTGTGTGCATATTAGGAAGTGCTTCCCAGCAAACCTCAAGGTGGATGTGCACAGGCGTGACAGATGTGTTCAATTGTTGAAATGCTTTCTCGCTGCAGCTGCATCACATGCGTCCCATTCCGTACGATCAATGGTCGTCTGCGGCCACTGTTGGCTTCTTCGCTGCACTGGTGTGCATGTTTTGGGCCGTATTGGACCATGGCTATCGCGCATTGCACTTGTGATTGCAGGCAGGGGGCATCGAATTGCTGGTGACAATGCTGGAGACAGCATCTGCTAGCCCAATCGGCGCCAAGTCAGCCGCATCGGCCTTGACTCTGCTGATTAGGAACAACAAGGAGAACCTCAATGCAGTCTTGCGCACGAATGCCGTTCAGATGCTCCTCAGAATCCTGGGAACGAATTCGGACAAGGAGGTGAGTGGCGCCAATCCGAGCGGCTAATAGGGTGACACGATGTGCGGGGATTATCGATTGTTTCGTTTGCGGCCAGACTGTTGTGGCAGACCAATTGCGGTCACACCCAAGTGCTTTGTTTGAAGGGTCAACTGCAGTTTTGTTTTGGGGAAGCCCAGCGTCCTATCATCAGGACGTATTGGTGCTTGGCGCCAGCTTGTCCTTGTTCCATATGGTCTGCCAAGAGAGCTGCCATGTAGAGCAGGTATGCGATTGCCGTTGCGATTGCAGCAGCCACACTGCAGAGTTTTTATTCTGAGGACCTCTGAGTGCAGCACACAGACCACATCGCTTTGGTGGGCGTTGAGAATGTGCAGACTGCCATCTCTCTGTGTTCCCTTTTTGAGCAGGTGGTGGACTCAGCGGCACACGTTTTGAAGGTAAACAGCCATGTAGATTGTCAGAACTGCATTTGCAAGCCAACACTTGAATGCCTGTGGTCGATTGCGCAACGAATGCGTCTGTCCCCGCCAGGGATGAAAGTCAGATTTTCTGACCTTGTCGCACACCCATCAGTGCTGCGCCTGATGACTGCCTTTGCACACGCCCTTGCAGTACCATTGCGCCCTTGGATGCACCCAATACAGCGTTCACAGTGCGTCCAACTCGAAATGAAGTGCCACCTGGCACGCCAAATGCCTCTGTACGGGGACACATTGCGAGATGTCGGCTAACGAGCTGCTTCAAAGTTCTTTGAACCAGAATGCAGACTACCTGAGTCTCCCTTCACATTTAACTATGCCAGGTCATGGCGCATGAAGGACTCTTCGACGGGGACGCAAAGGTAACGGCCATCGGCGAATGGATCACTAGGCAGCTGCAGGCGGTCGGCCTGGAAATCGACCCACAAATGGCCCTTCTGTTCGGCGCCGCTGGACCAGTGGTCTGGCTCGCAATGGCGATTGTCAGGAAAACGTACATGCATCGGGGCTAGAGCAGAGGACCTCTCAGCCCGGTTTGTGGGGGCGGGGCATCGATGGCGGCACGGGACAGGGTCAGGTGTTGTGATTGGGGATTTCTTTGGCATTAGGGCAACGAGGCAGTGTTTCTGTAGCATATTAGGTACCAGGCATCAAGATGCTGAGGGGGGGGGGCGTGTGATAGTGCGCTTAGGAATAAAGTCAAACGTAATTGACGCACCAGCAGGCCGCAAAATGTGGCCCAGAAGATGCCGCCATGGCTTTCAAGAGGACTAACCATGTAAAGCACGTCTTTGCTTTGTAGGAAACGCAACATGTAGAATGGCACTATTCTGTATATAATGTATGATTTTTCCACATGCTTTGCTTGTGAAGAAGCAATAGCACGTCTCTGGAGAACACGTACCATCGTCCTCAAGTGAACCGATGGCGACATCAGTCAGTGCTTGTGCATGACTATCATCGATTGTGCGCTGTACGAGAACGGCCGCCCGTTTCGAAGAATTGACTCGTTGAGAGATGTAGGCAACCATTGGAAACACAGTTGTGCGTGCACGCCCAGCAGCCAAGGTGTTCCTGCCCAAGGAAAAATAGGAAGTTGGGCCACTGTGGCCAGCCCACGTTCCAAAAGTTTTAGAACGAGCGCCTGGTTTTGCTTGTAGCAAATGCAGAATTGCCGTTGATCCTTTCTCCCTGACGAAGACCACTTTTGCCCTATTTTCCATAATATATATATTTTTATGAATAGAATCTAGTCGTAAAAGCTAATCGCGTATGACGCAAATTGTGCGTGGACACTGATCGCTGATGTGTGCTGCAAGTGTGTCGCTCATGAACAGAGAATCACCGTTAACTGCCACATCATCATGCATGATCATCAGCAATGCATGGAGCTTCCCACAGCAGTCCATGTCAGCTTATGATATTGTTCCTGCCCGCCGCCGTTTGTCCCTGGTGCACCCTCCCCCCATGTACCATCTGCCGATGCTGGCGGACGGGAATGATGATCGATGATCAATTCATTACCCGCCAGGCCAGCAGCTGCAAGGCGCTGATTGCCACACGCCGCTACTGATCACCATCAAGCTTATGCCATCCGTCGCCAAGTCTGTTCCCCTCTGAACTGCCAACAGACAGTGTGTTGTCATTGCCATGTTGCCTCATGGACTTGCACCCAGCGGCAAAACCCGCCGTGGCCCATGTAGGTGCAATTGCAGGCATTGAAGGGGAATTCGCAGGGTGTTCTCTCGCGCCGTGAAGGTCGTTCTGCCTCTTCCCACGTTATTTTGACTTCAGTGCAACTGTTTTATCTCTGAACACCCTTGACCCTTCCACCCCTCGTCGTCCATTGAGCGCTGAGGGCACCAAGCTCAAAATAGTGTCTTCCCTGTTAGGCAAGCCACAAGCGTGAATTGACGCTGACCCAACCCTTCGTTTGAACCCCCAGTCGTTTCATCAGTTTGTTTGCGGGGAAGTGGCGCACCGCCCACAAGGGCGATTGCAGTCAGCAAAAAAAGACCGGCCCCCACCTGGAACTCACAGCTCGGCGGGGGAACATTTTTTGACCGGCTCCAAGGGGGGTCCCACCCTGCCAGAAACCGGCGGCCGGCGGCAGGCCCGTATATCTTCCCCCTGCCCTGCGCCCTGGCCGCAGAGTGGGTCCTCCCGTCCACTTTGCCAACTTCCTCGGCTCTGACTGTCGCGCGGACGTTCCGACCCCACCCCGCCGGCGCCCGCCCGCCTGCCGGGATACCCAAGGCCGCCAGACGCAAGGTGAGGCCACCCGGCCTGCGCCGCTCAAAAGTCGCCGCTTTCTCGCAGCCGGACGCTTTCCCATGCGGGAAGTCCGCCAGTCGTCGCGCCCGGCGGGCATGGACTTCGTGGACGGTCTACGGGGTGGGGGGCGCCGAAGCCGGGTCTTCCAAGCCCGCTGGAACTGCCAATCGGGCAGCAGATGATTTTTATTGCGTCGCTCGCCTGCACCGGTTGGTGCGCGTAGGGGGCGGGGGGGGATCGATCGCGCCAGGCTGCCGCCTGGCCCCGGCGTCCTCCGCGAGGACGGTGACGCCGCGGCGGCGCCTCACGGAGAGTGGGCTTCGGGGCGGAGGATGCGATCTGCGAAAGCCGGGGGCCGCGTCGGCGGATCGACGGTGGGGGGTGACGTCCTTGGGAGAGAGCGAGGCGGTTTCGGGCGCCCCGGCGCGTCGGCCCGATCTCCACCCACACGTCGCTGACCTCCGCGCCGCGGTCCGCCGGGGTGGGGACCGCGGGGTGTCGACAGCTGCAGCCGCAATGAGTGGCGAGAGGCCGGGAGCACCCCTTGGGCCCGATCCGAACGTCCGGGGGCTGTGCCGTCCGACGGTTCCACCCCGTCGGACGGCCTACCGATCCGGCGGTCCCCCGGCGTGCCGCCGACCAGCTGCGGTCCGCAGGCAGCGAGCGGCACCGGCTGACCGAAGAACTGCGCCCCGCCCGCGGCGTCGCGCTTCGACTCCGCCACCCGATCCCGGGCCCCTCGTACGGGGGGCTTATCCGCCCGTCTTCATCTCGCCGCCGATCGGATCCCCTCCGCCGCCTGCCGGCCGGAGCGGGGCTGCCGCGGCGAGGCGACCGCGATTTCGGAACGAGCGGATTACGCGGCTGCGGGCGCTGGCGCGATTGCTGGCATCCGGATGCCGCCTCGGCGATGGGGGTTGCCGCTCGCTGACATCCGGGGGATGGGAAAGGGGCGCGACGGCGTGGCCGCGTCGCCTTCGGCGGCCCGTCGGAGGGACGCGGTCCCTTGCGGGACCCGCGCGGCACTGCTTGGTCCCGGTCAAGGGTCGCGATTGACGGTCGGCGCCCTTCGGTGCGCTGCGGAGAACGTGTTGCGTGCGGGCTGTAGCTGGCACCAGCCGAGCTGAGCTGGCCTGCTGCGCCCCCCCGACACCCGGCAGCATGACAAATGGGGCAGGGGGGGTGGTTCGATTCGTGCGCGGCGACTGGGCGGTCGCTGACCCGGCCAGACGCTTCCTGGACGCTTCATTCGATGTGTTGATGGGCCCCGGGGGGTGGTGCACTCTGGGGGCTGCTGCTGCAGCGCTTGCTTCGCCGCTGTTTTGTTTAATGGTGTGTAGCATTTGCCTAACTACTAACAATCGACAACATGTTTTACACAGATCCGTGACATTTCGTGAATGGAAATTGGGTAATGATTGAATGAACTCGTCATTTCAGCAAGTTATAATGTGTCTAGCTTATCTTGGCTTGTGTCTGATCATTCAAGGACGAGGATCGAGTCGCAGACCTATTTCCCACCATGTCGACCTCGACGCACCGTTCTCTGCATTCGCATTCACAGTAGCGCATATCTGCCATTTGGCCGCCATGTGAAGCGCCGTCTGTTGAGCTTCGTTGCGCGGAACGGACGGCGTTATCTGGATGCGGATGATGCCGCCGATCTGGCCCGCATCAGGGGCAATGAAACTCCTGCGAAGAAAAATGGTGGCAAAATCTCCTTTCAGATGGCATTATGTTGGCAGGCAAGGTTCCAACATCGCAACACAAAATATAAAATTGACATAACTAGTACTTTTACTTCATGTTCAATGCATGAATAAATCTGCAATCATGCGAGTTTCGTCGAGCGACGACAGTGAAGCTGCGCTAATGGCTATGGTCTTGCCAACTTCTTGACCCGACGCCCCATGCCGCAGAGGCCGCCACCAACGCATCCCCCGCCTGAACTACCCCGCCCCACCCCGAGGCCATGAAGTCTTCGGTTGGTGGGTCGGAGTTCCGAGTGAAGCAGAACGCAGACGACGCGCCCATGCACTGCGAGTCCAACGGCATGGCCACAATGCAGTACCAACATTATGAGTCGGACATCGAGGACAACCAATACGGAGGTGAGGGCGGTGGCAGCACCGAGCAGGCCTCCAAGCCTCCCGCAACAGCTGCGCACGTGTCGTACGGGGTTGTGCATACACAAGCTCGCCTTTGTGTGGCGGCAAAAAGGCTGATAGGCTGCGGTGGGAGGGATTGCTCCGCTCAAACCTTGTTGCCAACTTGTTTCAGGGATTTTGCTGCAAGGGGAAAGACGGCCCACGGCGTCCGTTTGTGTCATTCTGTTGGCGATTCTGCACGGTCAAAGCACCGAATAAGCAAGCCCCCCCTGGAACGATCGAAAGTTAGACCGGTGCTCTGATTCTGAGCACTGCATCCGTGCGAGCAAATGGACGGGCATATCGAAGAGTCTAAAGCAAAACACTTGAGCACTTAGTCGAGGACGGTGGCGTGGAGTTCTGGACGCGAATGATCTGGCCTCACGCTTGGTTGTGGCGCCAGACATGCACGAGGCCATGGCCGCCGGCGCTGCGTGGGCCATGATACCCTCGCCATACGCCATGAACCCGGCCATGCCGGCCAACACGCCCTGGGTGGAGCAGTACAACCCCATGCCCGCATACCAGCCCGGCCCCCCCTACCACCCGGCCTACGGCCAGGACATGTCCAGCTACGGCGAGGCGGACGAAGAGGCTGCCAACGGCTTTTACGGGGGGGCGCCAGGGGGCCCTGGGTACGACGACGGGGCGGCTTACGCCGATTACGTGTACAAGAGCCAGGCGGGATTCGCGGGCGCCCGGTCCATGACCCCTCCCGTGATGTCCATACCGTCTGCTGCTGCCTATGGCATGCCGTACATGGCCGGCTACCAGCAGCCCTTCGGCATGAAGCCCTTCTCGGCCAAGTACGGCAGGGGGTACGACAGCGAGGGCGGCAAGGAGGGCAACAGCGGCGGCGGCAAGGGCCAGAAGTGGTACCCGCCGATGCAGCCGTCCATCCTCGTGGGGAAGGAAGTCGTCGTGCGGCAGTCGGGGTCGGGGGCGCACAGCGGGGCAGAGAGGATCACGGTGCAGATGACCAGCCTGGAGGACGGCTACAGGTTGGGGGCGGCGCTGCATTCCCTTTAACCACAATTGACAAAAGCATGGGGCCCATGCGCCCTGGGGGCCTGCACTTGCGGCCGCACGCGATCATCCGTAATGCCGTGCGATGGCGGGCTTGGAGCCGTCGTCACGCTGTGTGTTTTGCCCGTGCGGAGCCGCTGCACCACCAAGCCAGAATGTTGACGTCGGCACGGCGGTTCTCCTTTGAGCCAGCAGCCATTTCGTTGCCGCGCCAGTTCGAGTTTTCGGCCCAAGGTAAACTGCTGGCAGCGGCCCGCCGACGGCACGACGAATGCGGCGCCCCTGCGCGGTTGCCTTGCTCACTGCGACGATTTCCAGACATGCCCTTTCAGGGGAAGCGTGCAGGATAGGGCCAAAGTGCTCGTGCCCGCCTTGCTCCAAACGGTGTTCAGTGCGTGTTGCTGGAATTGACGTCGTTGTGTCCCATGTACATGGGATACTTTCAAGCCCCCGTGGAAAAAATGTCCACCTCCCTGGCCCCAGGAAATGACGCACAAGTCGTCGAATGCATGCACAGGCGCACACCACACAGAGACTAAGTGTGTCCGTGCTGTCCTTTGAAGGTGGCGCAAATACGGCCAAAAATCGGTGAAGGGGAACGTCCACCCGCGCAGCTACTACAAGTGCACCTTTCCAGGGTGCTCCTGCCGCAAACAAGTCGAACGGTCTCCGGACGACGCGAGTGTGCTGCTCTCCACCTACGAGGGCTTGCACTGCCACCCTCCCGCCCAGCCCAAGCCGTCAGGGGCAAGGCGGTCTTAAAGGCGGGGTGGCGTGGGCTCTTCTTGGGGCCAGTAGGCGCCGCCGTCATAATGCAAGAAACGTACGGTTTTGATGAGCGTGGGGCGAGGAAGAAGGGGGCTGATGAATGGGAGGGTGGGCGGCCTGGGGAGTGCAGGCGCTTGCCGATCATGACACGCGTTGAGGGAACTGTGGAATTGTATGTCGCAGACCATGTGGCAGATGGACCCCGGGAACCAGTCCGCCAACTTGAGGGAAAGGCGAGAGTGCAGGGTTGGGTCCGATGCCGAGCATCAGGTCACGCGCGTGTGCCAGCGGCCCAGTTGCGCATTTCGAACAGAGGCTGCGGGCTGCACGCTCATTGGCACGCGAACGGCGCAGATTGGCTATGCTCTCACTGGAGGGACTGGATGTGTGCACGTGCGTCCATGAGGCGCACGAACGTGCCATCAGACAGGGGATCTGCCTGTAAATTATCGTGGCTGGATTTCAGGCACATCGGTGGCAAGGAGAAACGCATTGCCCGAAGCGGAAGCATAGATGGGGCGAAGGGCAACGCATCAGTACAGCGGCTGCTTTCATTTGCTCATGATTTACGACACCACTGCACTGTGGATTCAAATAACTTGTCTGCAAGAACGTGGTATGGTCCAGAAGGGTCATAAGTAAATTGAAAAGGTGAACGATTTCCGGAAGGCTCCCACAGGAATGGAGCACCGTCGCATGTTGGGCGGCCGCAACGAACAACAGTGCAACAACTGGACAGCGACACAGCGCAACGGCATTTGCCTTGCTTTGTCCGAGGCAATGGAATGTCCAGGCAGATGTCCGCTCACAATCTGCTGGCCTGCTTCTCCAAGACAACCCCCCAGTTGCTGTGGTCGTAAAAGGCCTCCCTTACGATGCAGCCCTCCACCTGCGTGCACAACTCCTCCAGTTCGCCCTTCACATACAGATGATAGTACCTGTCGAACACGACACTCCGTTTGGCCGAGTGTATGCGACCATCGTTGGAGCCCGCCCCCACATCCAAAGAGTTCAGTCCCCCAATGGGCGGCTGACTGTGGCATTCAGCCGTAGTGCCCTCAGCACTACCTCCGGGGTCTCCAGATGCGCATGCGGCCAATGCCCCAGTCTCCGGCCTGTGCATTGGAAGATGCCAGGGAACGAGGTAGTCACCACCTGCCGGACAACAAGCATGCCTCATGCCAGACAAGCTTGCGCTTCCATTGCAGCCCTTGTGGCATAGCTGATTGCGCTTTCAGATCAATTCGGCTGTAATTAAATTCGCCAAACGGCCAACAATCAGAGTAGGATGGTCTGGCAATGCAATGATGCCATGGGAATGGAGGGGGCTGTACACGATTCGCGAAATTCACTGGCATCAGATTTGAAAGCATTTGCATGAGTTGTGTTACTGCTTGGGGACCGTCCATGTGCTCCCTCATGGCTGCATGGTTGGGCAAGACAGCTTCACGGCACACAATCAACTCTTATCAAGTTGCAAGGATTGGAAACGGTAACACCTGTGGAAGGTGAGGATGGCATGTGCGAAGGAACAGTTGGACAACATTATTATGACTTGGCCACACTCGCCCAGAAAATCTTCAACACATGGTGCCTGTTCCTGGCCACAAAGCACTACCTCAACCACTTCACTTGTCTGCTTGTCAACTGCACTTCTGGCAGTTTGGAAGCGAGTGGAACATGTGCACAGTCTTGGGATAAAGAGTAAACCATACAATCGAACACAACCAGGTGTGCAAAGCACCAGGACACAGTGAGGCAGCAGCACAGCAGTTTATACTGCTGAGTTGGTGAAAGCTGGCATTTCAGTACATTCAAGCCTGCATGGCAATAAGCCTGTCTTGAGTCCCGCTTTGGCAGTTGGAGATGTCTGGCTCACCACAATTGCCATGCTCCTGTATGGGCTTCCATTTCTTGACAGTCTTCTCCTCATTCTCCTGTTCTTGTGCCCACACTGTTACTAGGGCCTGTCCCCCTTCCACCAACACACGCACGATTTCTCGCAGGCAGGCAACCCGGCGCGATCTGCTGCTCACATGGTGCAGCACGGCGATGCACAGGACAGCTTCAAAGGTATCAGAGCGCAGTGGCAGCCGCAAACAATCGCCTGTCAACAGATCATATCCCTGGCACCATCTACTGGGAAGGCCCACTGGCTGCAGCCGTTGAGCAGCAGCTTCAAGCAGACCTGTGGTCACACAGCCATAATTGCATACAGTAATAGTATCAGGAATGGGTTCCCAGAGCAGCGCACGGTTGTAATTCCACTACATGCATCGTGCCTAGACAAAAAAACACTGAATGGCATGCTGAGAGCCAATGTGTCTGCTGCTTTTGAGGGCATGCCCCTGCCGAGGGTCAAAATAACAGCACCTCATTGATTCCGTTTTCCAGCCTAAGTGCACAAGGTGGCAAAATTAACCTAGCTTGCCAGCAAGATCCATTTGGCAAGCAGCAACACCTGCACCACATGCCACTCACCTCTGCTCCTATCCAAGCCAACCACAACGACGTCATTGCGGACGTTGAAATATTTTCCATTCCCACATCCCACATCAGCCACACAGACTGCAGCAGGCAGTGCCTCCAGAAAACCCCTCACTTTGGGCCACACAGCAAATCTGCAGGTACAGCAACACAAACGTTCTTTTTTGGGAGGCACAATCCCAGCAACAGTAGGCCACCAGGGGATCAGCCCACATGTTGGCTACAGCAGCCCCTTCAATGCACCGGTATGCTCAGTCATCGTCCTTATGACACAATGTTGACTTGCTTACAGACTTCAGCACTGCACAATTCACAGCAGACCATTCCCATTCCCTTAGACACTCCTACCCTTGAACGTTTACCTTGTAGAACTGAAATGTCGAGCAATCACATCATAGACCTTGTGGACATATTCTTCCTCGAGACGCAGCAAGTGCCTGTCACTCATGCAGCATATCTCCTTCTCTGTGCCACTTGTGCCATTGATTTTGTGCTGCAAGTCTTGACAACCAGCATCAACAAGTTCTCTCCTGGCCGGAGCTACCCGGAAAGCAGCGCTGTCTTCAGAACCACTGGCACAGCACTCCCTGGCCACGCGAGTTTCTTCCACTTGAGGCTGCGGCACTGGGTCAAGTGTTCCATCGTTTTGTGCAACCTGCCCCTGCAACCCCAATGCTAGCCTCGTTGGAGGCTGACTGCCCTGTTGGCTGTCGCAATATTGGGGATAGCTGCAATCGCACGCAAACCCTCGTGCAGTGCGGAAGGTGAAGGAGATTCGATCGGCAGTGACTCCTGGTAGTCTACAATGGGGAATGTAGTGCTGCCTGCCCACCAACATTTAGGAATCCCTGTGTCAAGGAACATCATACCCCTGGCCATCAAAGGTTTACATGGTTTGGGCTATTGCCACATCGTGGGCTGTTGCTGCATGCCTTGCAAACCACTTGATGAGAATTTGCAATGGTTCTGGAATTCAGGCAATTGGCTCAGAGCACTGACATGTGATAGACTGCATTGGCTGTGTCTGTACAACCAAGAAATCCAGATGGAACAATACTGTGTGTGTCTCAGCTTTGCAGTTCCTCTTCCTGCAGGTGTGTTCTGGCAACAGTGGTCAGATCCCTCTTGTGGTTGCATCTGCCACTGCTTGCCCCTACTATGAGCATGTTGTAGCGATCAACACAATTAAATATTTTCGTTTGCTTGCCACCACAGCACTTCCCGAGCACAGGACTATGCCTCTGACCTACAGATCTTTGTTACTGCCCACAGTGAATACATTTGCCTTTATGACAAAGGTCTCCCAATTACTCTCAAACTCAAGGTAACTTAATCTATGGTTGTGCATAAGCAAAGCCTCACAGGGGTGCATCTTCCGCTACTGGGCTCACAACCAGCAGCTCCTTGGGGAACATTGGACGAGTACCAAGATCTTTATTGGTTGGAACATCCAGAAATAATCACAGTTCAAAGCTTACACATAAGGTTTCAAGTTTCACATTACTACAAATGGTGTATCGTTGTTGCTGCTGTGTCAAGTTGGTAGTCTTAATTGGTACCTGAGAATCTTGACAAGAATATGGCTGTTTTGTTGCCAGAACTCATTTCCAGGATCCTGTACATGCACTGCCTCTCACCAGCAATATCTTGCCTCACCATCCATGACCAGCAGCGAGCGCTGTGGTAAAAGAAGCCTCGATTTGACACCCTCCCTGCGAAACTCCATTGTTGCCGCAGCCCCCAGTGACAAAGATATGATGGCACCTTCAGATACATAAATTGATCAATTCATGATCGCTATGTCAGTTCTGTGGCACAGACTCTCTGCCCAGTGCTGAGTTTGGGGCAATTGGCAGCATCAGCCATTTTCAACTGGTTCTGTGGGACCCAGCGCTCTTCAGAATAGGGAATTCACACCCATTCCCTTGGGGGTCCACTTGTGCGATTCGTGCAACATGTTCCGAACAAACCGCACTCTAAGCCGCAAGCCCCATAATGGTGTCATCGACGACAGGACCAAATGAACTTCAGACACCGATTGGACCTTCAGCACCAATGGCACACACATCCCCCCAGAACTCAGAGATGGAACAGAAAAGCACCAGGCTTTCAAAACAATGGTAGCAAGACTGCGCTCACAAAAAAGCTGCCTACCTGTAAATGCTGAGTGTGTATCAACGTGTGGGAGCAATCCCACACCCGGTGGGTAGCTGTTGATCGTGAGTTGGTCCAGCTGAAGGATGAAGGTCCCAAATTAGAACGCTGGGGCAAGGACATTGTTGCTACCAGACTGCAACCCGATGAGAAAGTATCATCAAACGATACGCATGCATGTGCAAGCCAGGCCAACACCTGTCCCTCAGATGCACACTTGCTTCACCTGTGGGCAGGCCGATGCAGATTGTATCCTGGACGCTACTCCCTCCACACATTCCGGCAGCTTTCCCAGTGGGCTGTTTCTGTCAATGTTCCTAGTCTGCCAAGGCCATCAATGCTCAAATCAATTCATAAATCATGGATATTTTCAAACGCTGGCAGGAGTCAGAGCAAAATCGTTGAGCAATGCGTTGCAAAACAACACAGAGGCTTGTGACTGCAGCAACGTATCAGAAAGTCACCCAAAGTTGCTTGATTGGATGGCAAGTCTAGCACACAATATTTTGATGGTATCGTCTTTTTAGTACCTGTTTTCTTGGGCGTTGCGTTATACTTACTGCAAAACCGGCTATGCTTTCACCCACAAGAAAAATTACTAATTGGATGCTGCTGCGGCAGCAGCGGCCCAGCCACATGAACCAAACCTCCAGCAAGCTGCCCGCTCCCCTGCGCACCGATCTCTCTGATCCACAATTCCCATGTCCACAACCACGTCACTCACCACGTAGTCAAATCTGAAACCATAATGCTTGACTCTCCGCCCCGCGTGCACCTCCCAGCCCCTCTCCCCCTGCTGCCACCGCAGCAGCTCGCGCTCCTCCTCTTCCGACACAAAGTCGAGGATGAGGCTAAGCCCCGAAACGCCGCAATCATCCGCCGACAGGTGCACCGTCGGCCCCGCGTCCTGCGGCTGCAGCCGGGCAAACCCAGTCAACGACGTCTTTGAAGGGACGCCGTCGGCCAGCGCCGGCCACACCGATCCCCAGTACCTTCGGCTCCTTGGGCTTGGGCCCGTCAGCATGCTTGATAACGAGCACCCTCCCGCCTGCTGCCTCGCACGGGACCCCATTCAGCGCCGTCAGTGCGCTGGACGCGGCGGCGATTGTCGGAAATGTGACGAAGACGTGGGATTTGTTCCCATCGGGGATGCACACTTCGGCCTCGCCGAAAGGGGAGAAGATGCGCTGGATCTGCGCGCCGTCCAGGCCAACTCGGGTCCCGCAGTTGCCCACGAAGAGGTGGCGGGTGGGACTGGAGCTGCGGGGGCGGCTGAACATGTTGTCGAGAGCGGCCGGCCAAGAGCCTGCTAAGAACTTGCGGAATGTCTTGTGTGCACTCATTGCCCGACGGTCCGGTACTCATCGATTATATTCCCTTGAACAGATTCACGGGGAATGGGCTGAGCGGGTTGATGGGTTGCGGATTGGTGTTTGACGCCTTGGGCCCGTACGAGTGGCATGGTCTTGGCGCAGCGGGACAGCAACCGTCCCGCGCACGGTTCACACTCGTACCAACAGCTTCAGTGATGTTGTGCCTGGAAGACATCCAGGTACTGCGACATGTCACTTGCCATTAATGCCAGCATGGTCGTAGCGCCCTTGGTGGGTTCAGGCCGTTCAGCATTGTACACGTTGGGCTGTATATGAGAACGCGTCCATCTGAAGGGTGCAATACGGCAATTCATGGTGAATTTCATACGGCAGATGGTTTAGTGTTCAGACGACTGGCATTGACATGGAGGGTAGAAGCATACAAACGGCCAGGCTGGGGTGTGTGGCTGCCACAAGTGATGCTTGAGGCGTTGAAGACGCCAAAGGAGTCCCAGTACAATTTGGCGGTTCACGGGCAACTCGCCACCCTCCGGCACAAGCTTTTGACGTGCGCCTATTTCTGCTGAACGGGATTCTCTTCCAGCCCACTTGCACACCTGCCACAATTGCACAGTTCCGTTGCATCTTGTTCATCACCAGCCCTTGAAAACACAGCCCATGGCTGCCATTTTGCTTGCCCTGGGATTCGCGATTAAACCAAAGCACCGTGCCCCAAAACATTGTACTTCACTTTCGTTAAGGGTTGGGTGGGTGGGAGGAAAGCAAGGCATATCATGCAAAGATCGCCACCCGTACACCACTGTAAGTGGCGGTCTTTGGTCCCTTCACAAATAGAGAAGCCAAGTGCCTACTCAGCAAATAACCTCCAATTGCTACCCGTTGCAAGCAAGCCTTGGCTATTCTTCATATGTGACTTGTGTTCGCAATCCCCATGGCGAGGAACAGAGCTGGCGCCGGCTATCTACAGGATGCCCAGCGCATCGACAGCGTTCAACCAGGGCTCCCTTGTGAGAAACTCAAGCACTGACGTGGATCCCATTAACTGCGTTGATTTCTGTTCTGAGGCCGCCAGCCCAATTCCGAAATGTTGATTGAAATCCGAGGCCCTGACGACAAGCCCGTCGCCCTTCAAAATTTACACCAGACGAAACGAAAACTGTCCCGCCGATATTGGTGGGCCATGGATTGGCCACGACTCCATCGACTCCACGCCTCCGACTACTCGGTATAGGGAAGCAGCAGGTTGAAATTGGCGCAATTGCGGGTTGTTCGCGACGCCGCATAATGACCACCGTTTCACTGGGTGGATCACTTATGCTTGATGGCTTGCGACTAGTGTGCATGTCAAAACGTGAATCGCTGCTTGAGATTGAAAGAAAAAAGACTGTGGTTGCAGAAAAATGGTGCTATGAAACTTGCAAAGGTTACTCCCACCAAGATGTTACTTTCCTTGGAGGGGCACACAGGATGTCTCTTTCCCTGGTGCAGCATTGAGCTTCTAGCCTATGCATACTCCTTTGCTTGAAGATTGGCGCATGTTTTATGAAAAGTCGGATTGGCCATTTCTGTGAGTGAATTCTGGTTTTGAATTTGGTTCTTGAGGTAGTTTTCGATCACACTCATGTTTGTTGAGGACAACATGAGCTTGATGAAAGAATGTCCTGCAATTCACATAGAGATGCCTTGGTCATAGTGTCTTGTCCGCAAGATGCAAGGGTGTGTTGTGGGGAAGTTTCGGATATGTGTTTCCCGAAGCTTTACAGCATTGTGACCGCCCTCTACTTTCACTTTGGCTTGCAAGATTTGTTGTACTTGCACTTTGCAGTGGGGGCGTTTGGAAATGACCATATGCGGCACCTGAGTAGTCAGAATCATGTTGTTTTGAATTCTGAGTGAAAGGGAAGTTGTGGCATGTTTCAGATGTGGGCTGCATCATAGTGAAGAGGTGGCATCGGGGTTGAATTGTCTTATGGGCATTTGTGATTATGACAATCCTTAGAGGTCGAAAATGGGACATTGTATCAGATGATGGAAATTCGCATGAACGTGGCTGATCATTTTAAGCGCACCCCAGCCTGTTGGGGGCGCAGCAACCTGTGCTGTGAACCACGCCTTGGACTCCGCGTCGCCTGACCATGTGAGCGCCGGCGCGTGGGATGGCGACCCCTCCAATCGCCTAGCTATGCCCGCTTCTCTGGCTTACTTCGAAGAGGACAGGCCCATCGTGCTATGCATGATGGTGCGATTCCTTTAACAGGGTGACTTCTTATCAGCTCGTGTCAATTCTGTCCCGCGTGCCACATCTGGTTTGCCTGGGATTCCAGTCGTCTGCTGACTCGACCTGATGACTGGAGAGGGACAGCACAAGCGCTCAAAAAGACCAAGTGAAGGCGCTTAGCACGGGGTGAATGAATGGCCGAGGTTGCCTCTTGGGGTAGCGCATTGGGGTTCGGGCAGGTGACTGCCCCCGTTGCCTGCCCCAACCGTCGTGTGCATTTGCGGCAGCGCGCATTTCATCCCTCCCGAGTGTGTTGGACGCGGGAAGGGCCAGGCGGCAACACATGCATGACCCACTCACCCTGCCCCGTTGGCGCATGTCGGTCCAAGCAGTGCTCGGGTGCACGCCGAGGCGCGCCAGCGCGGCAGCCGCCGCGTTACGGCCCGGAGTCCGTCACGCGTGGTCCCCACGTAACCCCAACCCCCCATTTTTCGCCAATGGCCTCTCCATTGAGGAGGCCACCGGGAGGCGTACTAGGGCCGTTCGCGCCCCGCCCGGTACGCATTCCGCGGCACCTTTTGGGCCCGGGCAAGGGGTACACAACCCGAACGGGCGATGATTCACGCCCACAGCCTCCGGACGCACACCCGCAGGCCAGCGACCCTACCGCCTTCGGCTCCTGCCGACCGACGGGGCCCCGCGGACCGCGCCCTCAGACAGGAGGCCTGGGATCCAGAGGGGCAGACGGAGTCCGCCAGGCGGCTGGGGCCGTGGAAGCGGGTGGCAGCGACGGAATCCAGGCGCGGGGAGGCCAGCGGCGGCGGGCCAGCGGGGAGCAATATACGCGGGAGCTCGGCGCACGAAAGGCTCCTCGACGAGCGAGCCGCGTTGGGTGAGGCCCGTTGGGCGGGGTTGCGGCTGATGGTGGCAGTGTCGTAGACGCCGTGGCGGTGTCGTTCCGGAACGCGGTCGGCTCTGCGGGCCCCCGGGGGGTTCGCGGTGGGCCCTGGTGCCCTAATCGGCGATCGAATCCGTCGACGCTGGCTACCCGCGGGATGGCGCCGTGCGCGCGGGCTCCGGCCGCACAAGTCGGCCTTCCGTTACGTAGCTGTCAGACCTCCGGGTGACATGCGCCGTTGACGGGGTCAGAAATCCTGGACTCGGCCAGTTTTTTTTCGTCTTCCCCCGCGCGTTCTCTTGTCGGCGAACGGGCCCGGCGGCTGGCGCGCCAGTCCGGGCCCCCCGAGCCAAAGGCCACCGATCGCTGCCCCTGGCCCATCCCGCCAGCCCACATGCCAGGTGTCCCGCAGCGCAGGTCTGTCCACCTGCCCCACGCTCCCTGCGCGTGGCCTGTGGATGACTGTCCGGCCGCTTTTCCCACGCGTGCCTGGCTGCCGGTGGCCGCCGAGCGTGGGACGGCGCCCGGCCAACCGTGGCCGCAAGCGGTGGAAGGCTTGCGCCCCCCGGGAGAGGGGGGTGGGTGGGTGCCGGAGTACTCATGTCTGCCCTGGCACGTGGCGCTCATGCGTATTACGTGAACCGGCCCGATCCGCCCCAGCCCCCGACACTGACGTTGGAGGCGTCGATTCCTTGGATTCGGGCGGCGCACGCCCCTGGGCGGCGCGTGAAGGGTGCGGTTTGATGGATGGGGCCAGGCGGCGCGATGCGTAATGCGCTCGCTTGTTGGATGGCAGCGCCTCAAGTACCTTGCCCGGCTCTCCGTCCCCTCCAGCACGCGTCGCCCGGGGCGCTGCCGTCGCGACGCGCCCAAGGCCCGCCAGAAGGGTGCGCCGCTGGGCGCCTGCACCGGCTCGAAAGCGATCGGATGGGGGCGATGTTTCCTTGCGGTGGGGCGAAGGACCGCGTCGCGCCCGCGCTGCGCGCTGGGAGCGTTCTCCGGACTCGATATCGAAGGAATGCGGCACTGTCGTACAATGGCCGGACGCGCGCGGGTGTGGGCGCATTCCGGCCTCGGCCCGTTGGCGCTTGCCGAGGGCCCGTGGTGCATGCGCGTCGCGACGGCTGTTGGCCGGGGCTGGTTGCGCTCCGGGGCACCGCGAGTGGCGGCGTGCGGCTTGTTGGTTGCGGAGGACGGCCGCGCGTGATCTCGTCGTCGGGCACCCCCTATGGCCAGCAATGAAAATCAAGAAACACAGATGGCCCTTTGCTCCACCCTGCAATGGAAGAGTCTGTTTCCGGAACAGGGACTGCGGAAACGAGGCTGATGTGTCGTGCGCGACACGCACGGTCCGGGAAAGAGTTAGGGCATGTGCCTGGCGTGTCGGCATGCGCTAGCTGGGGTGTGCGACCGCTGAATGCTGCGGCACTGTCCAAAGACGTTTCGATCCTTCGAAAGGGCGAAGGACAAAGGTAGTGTGTCATTTAGCAGAGGACAGCGTGCGTAGGCCAGAAGCACAAACACGAGCCTGATGGAACCGTTTGAAGGCAATAGGATTGCCTCAGTCTGGTGCCTGATCCTTGCAACTTTGAATCTTGGAAGGAAAAATGAGAAATGGGAACATAAGCAAGCAAGATTTGGCTTGAGGTTGTCGCTCCTTGACGTGAAAGGTGGACCTTGAACGTTTGCCTGCAGGAATGCTGAGGCTCTACATGGGGGACAGGCCAGCCGGAATCCACCAGCTGGTTCGAGACGGCGCCTATGAGGCAGTTCAGCAATCTCTGCAAAAGGGAGGGGGAAAAAATGTCAGCAAGAGAGACAAGGTCAGTAACCACCGTTTTCTCTGCAGGTCACGCTGATAGCATCGGTAGCAAAGGGCTTGGGAGGACAGCAGGGCTGTCGGTCTTGTGGGGAGGCTGCCCTGCAGTTGTTGTTCTTAGTGCATAGCGTTGCAAATAAGACTGTTGGCGTTGGTTGTTTTTTCTGCTGGAAACAGGCTACGTCATGATCGTCGTGGGCAAGACCTGAAGGGTTTCTCCAGTGGTGCTTGTTGTCCTGCATTTAATGCGCAAGGCCAGTAAAACATGGCTCCCAGTGTACCGCTTTCGTGGGAGTTGTGGGTTTGGTTTGCTGCTGAGCTCCCCTTGTGTTCTGCCAGGAGGGAGCAACGCCCCTTCACATCGCTGCACAAGTTGGCCGGGTTGAGATGCTCAGGTTGCTGATGGAAAAAGGGGCCAGTGTGGAAGCAGAGGATGAGGTGATTGTAGCCACTGAGTTGACTGTTGATTCTGTTGTGCTGTCAAGGTCCTTGTATGGCTGTCAGACAGTATTAAAACCTTGTTGACTTGGGGTTGGCGAAACTGGCATGTTAGCGAGCTGTGTAGAACGATTGATTTTCATGCCTGCTGTGTTCTTTGAGTATTAGCTGGCCTTGGAAATTGTGTTCGCAAGTGTCTTGAGAGCTGTAAGAGCAGATGCGGTGGGGTAAAAATTGTCTTCATGTCGCTTTGGTGACTGACTTTTGCTTGCTGGTTCCCTAGTAACCATTTGAATGCACAGCAGTACATAGGAGCTTGTGGAAGCTTTTGCCGTTGTGTTGCTGGTCTGTGCAGGATGTCTGTATGTCTTGATGGTTCTGATTGGCGTGTGGATGCTGTGCAGATTGAGCTCACACCCTTGCACTACGCATCCATGTTTGGC